CATTACAGTGCTATGCTAATTTAAGTAGAGGTAATGGTCAAGAGCAGGTACCCAAGGCTTGCGTTAAAAAAACGTCAAGTCTAAATCAAGCCAAAGGACTGATGTAACTGCCAAAGCTTTCAACCCATGTGCTGAAGTCAGCATCCAAAGTATCTACTTATGCATCAAAATGAACATTTCAAGAGGGTAGTCGGATTTTTCATTTCAAAGCATTGATATTGTTCACTGAGAATCTGGACAGAAGTATCGCATTTGTACAGATGATTGTTCTGTTCATCCTTACTCGTGATATTGATCTGTAGCCTCACTGTTGTTGGGATAGAAGCATTATGAAGTTCCTGCATGAACCACAGAAGAAATGCGAAGGACTGAAAATGGGAAAGTCTTACACTTTAATCCAGTAGGTTAATCTGACCTCAGGGCTCCGAGTCTTAAAGAGTGCCTTACATGTTGTAATACTGAGCACCTGTAGTAACTATATTTAAAGCTGTTTAAATATTCTCCTTGTTACATATTTTGACTAATTTAATATGCTTTACATTTTGTTCTTTAAATAAATTAAAAACTGTTACCAAACTGTATTGTGCTTAACAGCATTGTTCTTTGTTTCTTGTATATTGGGATTAAAGTGCAGACCTTTATTCAAAGGTCTAAATTAAATTATATTCTGGTTACGCATTTCCATAATATTGTTAGCTGCTGTCAACTATTTTTATGAGTGCTGGGCAAAGATCAATAGCATCCAAAATAAAAGTTTGTTTTGACATTATATACACTACCTGACAAAAGGTCTTGTCGCCTTTACAATCAAGACTGTATAAATGTATAAATTATATATATAATTTATATATAAATTATTTTTTCTATGTATTATGTACTCTTTTTAACAAATATCAGATTGTTTTTACTTGGTTACATGGTTGACTGTCATTGTGAACAAAACAACTAATTATTTTGAGAAGTGTGGCTCAAACGGTAGCAAATACACTTTGTCTTGGTGGTGTTGGACAAAATACTGACACGATAACTATTTTAAAGCATGAATGAAATATTTTGGGGGAGTAACTACATGCAGATATGCAAGTTCTGAAGTTCCAGCAAACCATTTTGAGGTTTGCACTCACAAATTAGAGAATGTAAGTCTGTTTCGAAAAATTAGCCAAAGCAATTGAGAAAACTGTAAAGACTTACATCAGAAATAGAGATTTAACTAGGTTGATTATGTTAAATATGTAAGTTAATTAGGCAAGTCATTAGACACCAGTGGTTCTGTAGCCAGTTCTGTTGCCAGTTCTGTAGTTATGTAGCCAATTGAGAACAACAGTCTTAAGGTGGCTAATAATATGTACATTTATTTATTCCAGCTCAACTCAACAAAAAATAAGACTTTCTCCTGAAGAAAAATAATATTAAATACAGCGAAAGGTTCCCTTCCTCTTTTAAACTTGTCTTGGGAAATATATAAAAAAAATAATTAATGTCACAGGAGTGCTAATAGTTGTCTATAACTGTATATACACCCCAGCCTTAGAAAAAAAACAGATATCAGCTTCATGAATAATGTTAAAACTTTATTAAACAGCTCAAACTAACAAAACAAACCTTTACAGTTAGTGTGTTTTAATTCAGACACGCTGATTAAGTGCTTTTCACTTGTTGCAGTGGAGTCAAAAACATTTACATTATAAAGAAACAAGAACAAACGAAATAGAACAAAATACATCAGTTCAGCTGTCTCTCCAACACGTCATCTGAGTTTCTAAATGGACTTTGTGTTCCTGTTGGAGGAGTGCGCCATCACTAAAGCTAAAGTGATTCAGAAACGGCTCTTAAAAACACAATAACACCCATCTTTGTCACTGCATGGATGCGAATAACAGATGACACACCATTGTAGACAGTTCAGCTTCTGGTGCATTAAGTGAACACTGTTGTATGGAAAGGAACAGGTTTGTATGAGTAATATAAGCATCAACTGATCATGTATGTTGCATTTTTTGGTTTATGCTGAGGAAAAACTCACAAACACTAAAAATGTTTGAATCAAACTTGGAGAAATGTTGACTGATCAAGCTCCAAAGCAGTGCATTAAAGAGACAGTGAACCTGCAAACCATATATTTGGTCAAGAAGACTTCCCAAAATTATAGATATATATTTCAATTTCGTGTGGCGTAAGATACACAGTGTCCTTCTCAGTTGAAAAATGAAGTGTTCCCTGAACCCACCTGTACAAGTCATGAACTGTGATTGGTGCAAGTGAGAGACCCTCATCACTTCACATCCATAAAACAGCGGTGATTCCAGAAAGAGAAAGACTGCGCTGTTAACAGTCGCTTAACGCTTAATGTCAGAATCATATCAATATGCGCACAACGACACAGTGCACCACTTCTCACACAGTTCTTTAGTCACGTGAGGATGAACGATACGGTGAAATATTAAGAGTCACCCTTAATTAAATGACGCTAAATAAAGACAAAGACGTAAAGGTGATCATTTCATGTCCATGAACTCCTGAATTCAAGAAAACCCAGTGCGAGGCATTTGGGAGAAAACAGTGCACATTTTGGTCTATTGAAAGTGTCATATTTAGGAGGGGTGGAGATATATATACACAAGGTTCTATACACATTGTTATATATATACAAGCCAAACGAAAGGGACAGTAACTGTGTCCTGTGCCTAATATAGGCTTATACACACACACTACACCTGACTGCAGCACGTGCTACGCCGCATAGGTCATCTGATGTTGACTCCCTGTCATGAGCTGATGCTTGAGGAGATCCAATAAATAGATGAGGATATGATTTTAGCTAGCTTTCACAAAGGAGTTTGACATCATGAACTATGACTTTTAGGGAGTGATGTTTTATTATGTAGTGAAGATAGACTGTAATCTGAGTGATGAGTATTTGGCACTGAAGTTCTTGGGGGGAAAAGGACTACGATTTAATGATCTAAGTAATTATTTCCAGAGTCACTGTACTATAGTAAAGCACCCACAGAAAAATGTCCCAGGCCGTTCATAATAATTAGTGCAGATTTTTCCAAGAATGCCAAGAAGTTTCAGCTGTGCTCATTTGGTGGTAATCGGAAAGGTTTAGTCTTGCATCTGCACTTTTGATGTAATGGCAGACATTGTTTCCCAGCAGGTAAAACAACATCAAAAATGCGAATCGATTTGATCTCAATTGATTCCCATGATGTCAAAACAACATTAAGTTGACCTCTAACACTGGTGTCAAACAAATATTCAAGAACTGTCGTGTAATGAACTTTTGACATGGTTTATTTTAGGCCAATGTCATGTCAATTTCATGTTGTCTTGACATCAAGGCAGTATACATGCATTGTAGGGATACAAAATCTAGTGTAAATTTGAAATTGAAGCCTTCAGATGATTAAAACTGCTCTTATAATTATTTTAGTGTTGTTATTTAGGTGGTTAAAGGGATAATCTATCAATGTGTGGATGTGAAACGGACTTGACATCAAATCGATTAGCATTTTTTTGCAAAGGTTGGGTATCTTGCTATAAAAGCAAACCATTTTTGTCTGCATGCCTTGGGTTTATCGATGTTAAGTTTTTAGACAACACCACAGCTGTAATGACCTCTCATTAACATATTACAGATAAACAAACCTAAAGTACACTTCAAGACACGTTGGAGCTAAACTCTTTAGGACACCCGCCCTCCAGGACCAAGTGTGATGACCCCTGCGTTAGGGTCTTAAACTTGCTGTGTGTGTTTAAATCTGAATACATCGCCGTCCACAGACAATTCAGAGTGAAAACTAGCATGTCCACCATAATGAAGTGTTGTTCCAAAGTGCTCAAAACTGGCCACTTTGAAGGGCCCTTAGGATAGCAGAAGTTTAATGGGTAAAATTGATAATTCGGCCACCATAATTCTTTATGCTGGGAAGTTGTCACTCCTGAGGGTGCCCCCTTGGTAAAGTTTAGATCGGATATGCGGCCGGCCGGAAGTGCGATATGCACACCAATATAGCAGTATTTTTTATGACACTGTATAATAATTAATATTTTTAAAGTACTGTGATGGTTGGGTTTAGGGTTGGGGTGTGGGGGTAGGCGTTAAAAATTCTATTTATTGGGTAATTTAATAGATAACATAAATAATACTCGGTACAACTACTGTTTTTTACATTAATGGTTGGGTTTAGGGTTGGGGTGGGGGTAGACGTTAATAAAATACAATAAATGTGAAATTTAATAAATAACATAAATCACTTCGTTAATTTCCGGCCGTAACCATATCCGATTTAGCAACAATCTGTGCCCTTTCGAATGGAATGCGCTGTTGTGATGAAAATCATAACCTAAGCTTACCTGCACAGTTTTGGCACAGTGCCACCTAGTGGTCTGGAGATGTGAAAATCGCTCATTTTGACCTCTGGTTTAGCCAAAAATCAAAGTACTGGTCTATTTAAAAAGCAGTTGCACAATAGCCAATGTTCCAGTGTTGGCCATTTTGAGCATCAGTCAATCTGAATTTAAATGAAAAATCTGAGATTTTATGAACATATTAGCATATCTTTACAAAACTTAGTTTCTTCATTATCATGCCCTGATGACTTTGCCTATTAAGGTGGACTTGATATAAAGAGTTCAGATGCAGTTCTGAGGGCTATCTAAAATTTTCATCTAAAATGATCATTTTTCTCAGGCTCCTGTAATTGAAGTTTTATGGCGATAAATAGGTGATCTCAGTGCCATTAAAGTGAAATACCTAGCAAGAAAAACGCTCATTTTAGAACATTTCAGATGGCATTTGGAGGTACCTGCATTTGAACTCTTCATATACTCCTTGGATCATATCGAGAATATACATATTATGCATTATGAACTTCCTGACAAACCTTTTTTGAGTGTAGACTCTGGACCTGATTTGAACCAAATTAAAATCAACTAGTCAGAACTGGTTTAACGCCATTAACTGCCAAACTGCATCTGAGGCTTCACACACCACATCAGTTTTGTACCAGTGCCACCTACTGGTTAAATTTAATAAACAATTAAATCATATTACTAGTGACTGTAGCTTTGACTAAAACCACCTGAAGTTGTACCCTCATTGAATATTTCATTCTGCCTCTGTTGTGCTTGGCCCCTTAATTGCTGGCTGGAATTGTATTTTGTTGTTCTTCCTCTCTGTGACCGTGATCAGCAGCACATTGTGGACAAACGAAGAAGTGCAAAAACAACACAAAGCACATGTGCCAGCTCTGCATCTTAGGGGGATTTTGAAGGGGAAAAAAAACTTAAGTATACTTTGGGCTACAGACAAAAATGACTTCACTGCATAGCATATCCATAAAACAGGACGAAATAATCTGTTCTGTTATTGAGTAAAGGAAAAGATGTCATGCGTTATTGCATATGAGAAGTGATAGGCTGAACCGACATGTCCAAAACATTGTTTACAACACAATACAGAGTGACTGAAAATATCTTAAGTGATTCCCTTTGGCTAAATCTAAACAAACCTTGCTTCCCTGGATTAAATGTGTACCGTTTACCGCTTGGCGTGCATTGCACCACATCTGCACTGCTTTCACTCACCTATCAGTTTTACAACATCCACACACCCTCAGTGCCGTCAACAACACTATTCACACTGAAAGTGACGAGACAGTGTTTGTCAATGAGTTTGTCCCTGGGCATTAGTAAGTGGGGCTGATCTCATGCTCCCGTGACAAGAGCAACAATGAGAAGAAATGAGAGAAGGTGGACAAGGGTGCACATGGTCACCAGTGAAACCAGAACGGGTACAAAACCACAGCAGAAGGGTAGAAAAATCCACCGTCTGGAACAGACATTGTGAGGAGGGAGAGAAGGTTTGGTGCAGGTGTGTCTCTGCTCTCTCTCTCTTCTGAAGGGTCAGATCTGGAGAGAGGAAGAAGGCATAGTCCATTGTGCTCATCGCTGGCACCTTCACACTGGTCATCAGCTGGTCAGGTAACTGTGCAGCTCTCTGGAGTTTATGCTCAAAACCACCCCTGAGTGGTTGCCTGGCAACAAGAAAGTCAGGGGGAAAAGAGAGTTTGTAAAGACAGCAGGTCAAAAAAATGTTCATCACTAGTCAAGGTCGTTACACAATCTAAGGATATGCAGTCATGAATAATACCCACAGAATGTTCTAGATTCGTTCTTATAGGTTATTATTTAAAAAGTGGGGATATTCCAGTCATTTTAGAAGCTATGTTTATATCATTATCTTTAATGTACTATTTTAAGTTGTGGAGATAATACTAATAAAAAAATCTTGCATTAGGGTTAAATGTAACATCAGCAACTTCTATTTGTTAAAACACTTCTGTTCAAAGGAACGTTCATAATTCTTTTCTGTCTCCCATAATTAAAAAATATATATTTCTACACATTTATAATAAATTTCTTTAAAATTGATTAGTGTTGTTGCATATTTGTTTCCATTTTTACAGTTACAGTAACTTATTTCATAATAATACGTATATAATATATTTTATTCTCTATTTAATATTATACAATACAGTTTTTCTGAGTGGCTTTGGTGCATATCTCACAATACTGTTTACACTTGTACAACAGTTCATGCTTTTCTCAAGACAATTAGTCATTTGTGCACATCAGAGTAGTCCTGTGGTCCACTACAGTGGACATGCTGTAAAACGAAAAATAAACACAAAATGTAAAAACTCTAAATTGTAGAATTTTTTTTTTAACCCAAAGGATGTAGGAAATCACAGAAAAAAACTGGGTCTCTGTAGGATTCAACATTATCATTTGCTTATGTCAGTTAAAATGAACTAAACTTGTGAATGCTGAATAGTCACATCATATAAAACTAATAGTCCTCATTTCATTACTTTTCAAAATCTGTCAAGCAATTTTATAATGTTTTTAAAATCTTTTAAATTGACAAAGTCTTTTAAATTGAACAATTTCTTGAATGATTTACAGACCTGTGTAGGTTGTAGGTTCAGTTCCAATAGGGACTGCAATATTGTTTACAGTTGTGCACAGCTCTACCCAAAGGAAGTTTCGTTTTTTTGTAAATAAGGGTGTGTTTATTCTTTTGCACACTGCCTGACTACAGTTTTTCTCAGTCGCTTTGGTGCGTTTCTAACAACATCAGTGCATTTCTGATGTCTAACATTACTGTAGTTTTCAAACGGTTGTGCAAACAGTATATAGTGCCATCTTGAGCATTTTCAGGAAGGGGTCACCATTCCATTTGCATTGGAAAAATATGTACAGAGTAAACTGTCATAATGAAAACATGACAAAGCCATTTGACTATCTTGTTCATAAACAATGGTGTCAGGACTTTTCATTTTGATGATACTGACACTTTCATTGACATCAATACTTGCTTTTGAGGAATGAGCAATCCTTTTTGAGCAAGTGACGCGCTTTTGCAGTTTATCAACTAGGCTTTGCAGTTTGTACTAATTGTTTTGAGAAATGCATTAACTGTTGTGCAAATTTAAATAGTGTTGAGAAAAATGCACCAAAGCCACTGAGAAAAACTGTAAATTGAACAAGACTACAATATACAGTATACACAGCACATTCTTTATACAAGACACCTGAAGATAGAGACACAGACAGACGGATAGACAGACAGACCAATAGTCTGACAGACAGACATTGTGTCAGGGTCTCGTTCATCACCTAAATTTCCCATTTATTACGACTAGTAATGTGTGTTAACAGTGCATTATTCACCTAGTGTCTGTGAGTCGAGGTCGTCGTCGATGAACTCTTCTCCCTGAATGATGTTCTGCGTGTCCTCGCTGTGGTTGACAGGACTGGTCATTTCCTGCTCCTTCTCGTTGTGCATCTGAGCGTAGACGTTTCTGCCTGGCAGTTTTCTGAAACGCAGCCAGGGACGCGTTAGGCTGCTCTCCTCTGGCCTCAGCAACCAACCATGGTTTTTGTAGTTTTTCCTGTCACAGTTTTGTAGTTCATGTTCCGTTATATAAGCTGACTGTCATTTAGACATGTGGGGACTGAACATGCATTCTTCAGTGATGGGGTATGACAGGACAGTGAGGATCAATAGCACTATCACCTGTGTGTCTGTGTACACCTGTGCATCATGCATTTCAGTGACGGGCAGCAAGGCAGAATGGTGTGTGTGTGTGCGAGTGTGTTATTATCTACAATACAGACAGCTCTGACGTGATATGAAATCATATCAGCTGCATTAATTCCATTCATTTGGAAATCCAATTTGATGAGTCATTTTAAAGCAATGACAGGAAAAGTCAAACACTAGCTTTTTACAAATAGTGGAGTAAAGGACAAACCTTTTAAACTTGAAGAGTATGAACGCTGCAGCGGAGATCAAACTTATGAGAAGAAAGACAGCTACAGCCCAAACACCAGGACCTGCAGCAGCCAAACCAGAACCTGAAGCAAAACACATTGATTTGTTTTATTCGGCTATTCATTTCATAGAACCTGCAGTGCCACAAGAGTTAAAGGGGTAGTTTGTGCTCAATGGGAATTTTTGGGTGAACTATTTTTTAATCATCACCTTACTATATTAACATGTCAGTTTCTGGCTCCAGACTATACTACCTGACAAAAGTCTTGTCGCATATCCAAGTTTTAGCAACAACAAATAATAACTTGACTTCTAGTTGATCATTTGGTATCAGAAGTGACTTATAAGAAAGGCAAAGACCTCTAGATTACGCTTATTTTACCAAAATAAAATATGATCATGCCTTGATTTTTTAAACATTTAGTTAAGACAGTAAGGTCTGACCTTGCTTAAACAAAAGTCCTGTCACTTAACAGAAATAATGTTCAGTATAGAATATAAAGTCATGCTGCAGTGGAAAAAGAATGAATATTGAGTATGACTCCCATGAGCTTGGAGGACTGCATCCATACATCTCTGCAATGTCTCAAATAACTTATTAATAAAGTCATCTGGAATGGCAAAGAAAGCCTTCTTGCAGGACTCCCAGAGTTCAAGATTCTTTGGATTCATCTTCAATGCCTCCTTCATCTTACCCCAGACATGCTCAATAATGTTTATGTCTGGAGACTTGGCGGGCCAAACCTGGAGCACCTTGACCTTCTTTGCTTTCAGGAACTTTGATGTGGAGGCTGAAGTATGAGAAGGAGCGCTATCCTGCTGAAGAATTTGCCCTCTCCTGTGGTTTGTAATGTAATGGGCAGCACAAATGTCTTGATACCTCAGGCTGTTTTGTTGCCATCCACTCTCTAGATCTCTCACACGCGCCATACTGAATGTAACCCCAAACCATGATTCTTATCTTCACTAAACTTGATAGATTTCTGTGAAAATCTTGGGTCCATGCGGGTTCCATTAGGTCTTCTGCAGTATATGTGATGATTTTAGTTCAACAGTTCAACAGATGATTCATCGGAAAAATCTACCTTCTGCCACTTTTTCAAAAGATCAACTAGAAGTCAAGTTATTATTTGTCACTCTTACAAATGGGATCGACAACAAGACTTTTGTTAAGTAGTGTGTTTGGAGGTTCAACCAAAAGTACTGATAACTGCTCACAGTGCCCTGTAATACTTTTCAAATTCATGATAGTAATGTTTAAATCCATGCCTCTATCAAATGGTCAGACAATGACATTTTTTTTTTTACAAATTATTAAAATATTGCTGTCTAGTATGCAGCATGTCCGGAGACTAAAATGTATACTATGATTTTAGAACAACGTTTGCTATAATGTGTCATGTTACTTAACAATGGTCATAAGTAGGGCCAGACGGAATCTGCCGACGTTTTTTGCTATTTCTGCGGAGAATTTTGGTAAAAGTCTGCGGATTTCTGTGGAATTATTTTGGGAGTATCATAACTAAAACCTTAATATAATAAAATATTTAAACTATTACTGTACAAACTGCATTGTACATAAATCAGATGAACATTTTCACATTAGTCAATAATATTACTGAAATTATATAAAAAAAAACTGAATAAATATAGATTTACACACATTTACTCAAGTAAATAAGCAGAATAAATGATGGGGTAAAAATCTGCGGAAAATCTATGGAATTCTGCGCGCACAGATTCCGGGTGGGCCTAGTCTTTAGCAATATATTTTATAAGATATATTTTCTCAATGTAAAGGAGTAAAGGCTTGGACCTGGGAACAGCATTCCATACATCACAACATAAAGGGGTAGTTCACTCAAAACTGATCATTTGCTTACAATTTACTCACACTAAAAGAGAGTTTTGACACAAAAGCCTGTAAATGCTGTCTGAATTTCTTGATGATAAATCTGTCATTATTATCGTCTTTAAAGTAAAATAACTTAACATAAACATTTATAGGAGCTCTAAAAAAAAAAAAAAACTTATTTTTGAACAAAAGTTCAGATGGCACTTTAATTATTTTGCAACTGAACTCTTCAAATGGTTCTAATCTTTCACAGAGGTTTCTTATTTTTCTGAACACAAAAAGAAGATATTCTGAAGAATGTTAGAAAGACAAGCCACTGACATCCATAGTAGGAACAAATTATATAGCGGAAGTCTATGCTCTTCAGCATATCTTTATGTGTTCAACAGAAAAAAATAAAGTCAAACAGGTTTGTAGCAAGTAGTAGAGTAAATGATAGCAGAATTTTCTGTTTCGAGTGAACTATCCCTTTAACAAGAGGATGATAACTATCTATAATCTTTCAAAACACTCAAAAAATCAATCAAACAAACAAACAAACAAAATCACACAAATCACACACAATGTACACACCTTGTGTGGATGAAGTCAATTGTGTGGCTGTGATACAGATAACAATGAAATGAAAACAAACTTTAAAAAACTTTAAAAATAACTAAAACACAAGAAATCGCCTTTAAGGGAAAGTTTACAATAAAGTAAAGTAAAGTGAAGCATGCATGTGTTAGTCAAACCAAAAACACAAACAGAAATGCAAGTCAACAGAAGCCTACTTAATGTCAACTCAATGTAAAGACTAGACCAGAAAACAAAACAGAAACAAGACATTATTAAATCAGCATTTTCTATTATTTCCTTTATTCTTAAAGAGTATTTTTTTAAAGAGGACACTTCTAAAAGCGAGCAGTAAATGTGACCAACCCGTCTCAGTTGTGCTGACAGACACGTCACTAGTTATAGGCCCTTTGAAATACATTGGTTAAGTTTTAGTAAAGATGATGGGCCTGCTGTCATACTAAAACAGTTAAATGACTTAACAACATACACTTGCTAGCCAATACATTAGGTACACCCTTTCAACTGTTAACTAATGCAAACATCCAATTAGCTAATCACATGGAAGTATTTCACTGCATTCATACATTTAGATGTGCTCAAGACAATGGTTGCGTCTGAAATCGCCTAGTACTCAGTAGGTACTGCATTTGAATTTGAATTTATAAGAAATGTACGCTCTGTAAAGTATGAATGTGAGTAGTTTAAATGAAACTCGGATGTAATATTTTGTCATGATCATGTGACCTACCTTTGTCAGTAGCGTTGCTTCACTCTCGTTCATGAATTCTCGCGTTTATGAGCATTCTAAGCATTATGAGATAGCGTAGCATCCATTGGATGTGCACTTCGGAATTATGCAGGAAGTAGTAGGTTATCCGGGTACTAGCATACTGTTTTACAAATTCGATGAATTCGGACATACTATGCGACTTACATACTGGTTTTATCATACTATATAGTATGGAAGTATTCGGACGCAGTAAATGTGTTCAAACTAAGACACACGCAATCAACTCAAGGGTTTAAAAAATAGAGTTGGAGGCAATTTGTTTATAACAAACAAATTTGCTGATTAAAATTACTTCTATTTGATATATGCACATTTATGTTAACATTTTTGTTTTATTTTGTTTACATTGTCCACCTGCTGGAGTTAATAGTAGCTTACAGTTTGTCTGTTTTATACCACACATTGCTGTGTTGGCTCATTTATTCCTCCTCTGGAAAGAAAGTGAATTTAGAAATGCTGTTAAAACAACCTTTGCGTTTAATAAATTAAATTACATGTTTGTAGAACAATGTGTGCAAAACAACCCCGAATCCAAATCCACAGCTGAACTGAAATAGATCCGTGTATCCAAAAGGTGTACCTAATAAATTGGCTGGTAGGTCTTCTCAGTGTTTTTTTTTTTTTTTTCTCACCTGAATCCAAATCTGCCAGAGTCACCAAAACTCTTAACCCTCCTCTCACAATGAAGCTCACATTGTTCTCACTCAGAACCTGTTTGATGGTGGGAACACGCTACACAAATGAGAACACACACAACAGTTAGACACTAATTGATACAAATACAAAATACATATATAAATAAACATTTTTAATTAATTGTGCTTTAGTAATCAAGGTAAGCCATAGTAAATAAGAAATTAGTTCACTGAAGGAAGTGCTTTCTGTATATCATGTTTATTTCTGTTTTTATTTCTATTGCTGCACTAATGTTTTGTTGTCTGAGGATGTGCTCTATCTTTTCACATTCATTCATCTCTGGAAAGCTGACACATTTACCTTGTCAACAAACACACTCCTCTTTACTGGTGTGGTCTCTTGAGGAAGAACATACAAGTCTGCAGAGGTGGGAAGCCCAGGCTTCACCATCGTCACCAGATGCTCCTGAGGAACCCCTGTGAGCTGGAACAAAACAGAGGGACAGGGCGAGCATGATTAAAATATTGTCCTGTATAATAACAGAACTTGTGTATGTGTGTGTCTGTGACAACTTGCTTATGTGGTTTAAGAAGACATGAAATTGTATAATAACATAGGTACAGTATGACCTAGTTGAACTCTTTCATGTTTTGTTGTCCTCATAATTTTTTTGTCCTCATAATTTAAAATGCTAAACAAATCCTACTTTTGACATTCAAAAATTGGCATAGTTTTCCTGTGAGGGTTGGGTTTGGAGGTAGAGGAAACAGGAAGTCCATATAATAAGCATTTTTACAGTATAAAATACATTGTGCCAATGGAAAGTCCTCGGAAACCATATAAACATGTATGTGTGTGTTTGTGTTTTAAGACTGAGTTGAGAACCTTAGCAATAATCTTTGTTACGACTTCCCCCACATCTCGTCTCCATTCAGGGATGTTTGGGTTAAAATGGTCCAAATTACGACTGAAACTCAATGGGATGATCTGGAAATGATCTGTAGAGAGATGTTAAAGGTATTATTAACATTTTAAAGTTCATATTCCAGTTGAAAAGAACCCACACGCAATTAGGCTGTGTAAAGTGAGAGTAATTCTCACTTGATGTATTGACGTTCTACAGTAAGACTATAAACCTTGCACTGCAGGTTCAAAATCTGAATAGACACCACAAGCACCATCAAGAAAACCAAGTAAAGCTGCCATTTACTTTGTATAATGTTATTCCAAAACATTTATTCATTTTTCAGTGGAACACACACAATAAACATAAAATAAAAGCCTCACAACATACAACCCTAGTACTACAATAATTATAGTCATACATATGAATTTGGAATCACATAACAAGGTGATTAAGGTGATTTTGGGTAAACTGTCTTACTTAAACTGTCAAACTTAAACCGTCAAATTATTACGTAAAATTTAAAATAAATAAATAAATAAAACAGTGAAGATCTTAGTCAAATCATTTATCTGCTGCCAGCTCATCTGAGTTTTATAATGTGTTAATCTATTAAATGACGTAACCAGTGGGTTAACTTGAGGACAAACACTATGAAAGAGTGAAGTGACACAGTTGTATACAGCACTACAGCTGAACACTGTCTCTGAGTCATTTCTGCTTTCCAAGCATGAGCTCATCCCATCACACCACACTCATAAATATTCAATCCAGCCCTGGAAACACATGAATATTTCAGTTCAATTTAACACTGTGATTACAAGTAAGAAGTACAGTTAGTCCTCCAGCTGCATTTGAAAATTCACACGAATGAAGGAATTTAGCAGCATTAAGAACATTGATTGTAGTGTTAGTATCAGCTTTACACTCTTAAGCATTGATATAAAACGGTTTAAATCTGAATGATGGTTGTGTTTAATCATACACTCTGTGACTGTCACAAGATCTTTGTGTTCTCTGATTTTTGGACCACATACTGGGTGGACTGAGTCTGAAAAGTACTCGAACAGCACACCTATACTGAACACCACTTACTAACATGCAAATAAGACATTACAGAAACAGAAACATTTATTAGAAAAACATTTTGAGCATACCTTTTACAGTAATGTACTTCAATTTATAACTTAACTAAATACAATGTAAGATTATTTTTACACAAAAAAAGTCAAGCAGTACTTCATCCAATTAAAAATGTATCATTAATGTAAGTTCAAAAAATGGCTAAATATCAATGTTATCCACGCAGGCCAGTGCATACTTATTAAACAGAAGCTCAATATGCTTTGTATTTAAATGGGCTTAAAAATATTGTTTAAGGCAAATTATAAATTTTTTTTTCATTGGCTCAAATTATCAAATTTTCTGTAATTAAATGAATGAACATTTCATGGGTTTAATTTTGCTTTGATTAAAGCTATATTTTCTTGTTTAGAACAAAAAGATAATGTTAATTAATTGACTTTCTTCAAAAAGACAATTTCTTTTTTTTTTTACCAGGTTACATAAAATTTTTCTCATGGAGATAGTAAATATATTGTTTTATTGTTCAAATTATTTATTTTTCATTGTGTCAACTGATATAATTTAGATGTGAACCATTACACTAAATATTTTTAATTGGATGAATGAAAGCTTTTGAAAGCATTAAAGATTACATTAATGTCGGACAGATAGAATCTGCAGACATTTTTTGTTATTTCTTCACAGAATTTTGTAAAAACATTCAGCTTAGTCCATTATTTATCATAGGTCGGCACAGTGAAATGAACCGCCAACTATTCCAGCATATGTTTTACACAGTAGAGGCTCTTCCAGCCACAACCCAGTACTGAAAAACACCTATACGCTCTATCATTCACACATTCGAACCCTACGGTCATTTTAGTTCATCCAGTTCACCTATAACTGACTATGGGGGAAACCAGAGCACCTGGAGAAAACCACACAGAAACGCCAACTGGTCATGCTGGGACTCGAACCAGTGAACTTCTTGCTGTGAGGCGACAGTGCTAACCACCGAGCCACTGTGCTGCTGTTATTAGTCAAATCATTCAATCATTCATTTTCTTTTCGGCTTAGTCCCTTTATTAATCTGGGGTTGACATAGCCAATTGAACTGCCAACTTATCCAGCATACTGTATGTTTTACGCAGCGAAAGCCCTTCAAGCTGCAACCCATCTCTGGGAAACATCCATACACACTCATACACTACGGACAATTTTGCTTACCCAATTCACTTGTACCACATGTCTTTAGACTTGTTGGGAGAACATGCAAACTTAACACGAGACTCGAAACAGCGACCTTCTTGCTGTGAGGTGACAGCACTACCTACTTCGCCACTGTTAGTCAATCACTTTACTGAAATTAATAGAAACTGAATACATGAATATATAAGCTTATAGCTTACCATAAACAATGACAGTTTTGCTGTCCTGGACCATGGAGCGACCATTAGAGGCCTGAACGGTCACAGGAACTTCACCCTCCTCAGAAAACCTAGTTATCAGACTGTTCTCCAGGGTCAGCTTTGGCTGTCAAAATCATATGTTTGTAAAATTATGTATTTGTTTAAAGCATAAGCACATTTAAGTATGAGTATCTTAATTATTTTACCGTATTTTCAATAAGGAGGTACAGATTAAAGCATTAATCTTGAGCTTTGAACCAGTTCTAAAGATGCATCAAGCTAAATCTTGGATGAACTTTGTCAATGAATTTGTTACGTTTAGTTTTAATATTTTGAAACAAACACACAAACTAAAACTGAAAAATTAGCATATTCTATAATGTCAATAATAAGCACAGAGTACCTGCATGTTGTCTCCAATCCACCAGTAAAACACAGTCAGGTTTGCCTCAGTGGGAAGCACTATAGCTGTGAGATTTACATCTTGATTTCGACCAGCGATTGGGACAACCTCTAGATGAACATCCTGTAGAGGAGCTGGATAAAGGAAGAAAAAAAAATCTAGATAAAAATTTAGAAATAGAAACAGGGATTTAAGCCTGTCCTGAAAGACAATGGCTTAAACAGTGTATGGTGGATAAAACACAATAACAAGCATTCATCTTTTGTTTAAAAGATAAGTATAAAACGATTAAATAAAATAATAAAAGAAGAACATTTGCTAATAAAAATATTAACTTTATAACTGTGTTTAATGTAATGTATATATTGCTTAAATGTTTGAAATAAAAACACTATTTAAAGAAGAAAGCTTTAAGAACTATAAAAATGTTATAATTTTTTTCATGTATACTTTACAGTATCTTTATTTTGAATTTTATATTCTTATTTATTATTAGTTGTTTTTTCTTTTCTTTATTTGATGTTGTCTCTTTAATGATACTGTAAGTACTGTAAATGTTCTCTGAATTTTTAGAAAAAGGGGAGAAGTGAGCTAGTTGTAGACTAGTATTAGTAGACTGTAGTTCACCCAAAAATGTAAATACTCAATATTTATTCTCCCTCAAGTAATATCAAAAGTTTCTTTATTCTACTGAACACTAAAACAGATATTCTGAAGTAAGCTAAAAACCTTTAACCATTGACTTCCATAGCAGGAAAAATACTTTGAAAGTCAATAGTTACAGTTTTCCAGCTTTTTTCTTTTGTGCTCAACAAAGAAAGTCAAACAGGTTTGTGAGAAAGTGAATTGTGAGTAAATGATGACAGAATTTTCAGTTTTGTGTGAACTATCTCATTATTACTAGGGCTGATAAATGATATTATATCGAATCGTATTAAAATTGATGTCAATAACAATGATAAGCTCTTGACTTTTTTACTCTTTATTGATTTAAGAGCCAATCACACAGCAGAAATGTACAACAAAGGGAATCTATAAGTGTGTTGATGTTAGAAGTGCACATAATTTACGACTGCCAAATATTATAAAAATAAGTTATGCTATTTAAAATACCCTCTAGCTTGTAGATTCAGTCCTTGTTGGGGTACTCTTTCACAACTGATATCAAAATATATACATTGTTCAACATGGAAAATAATTAATTGAGATTGCATTTTTGCCATATCGTCCAGCCCTTAATACCTGCTAACAATTGATTTGATGGTCCCTCGACAGACATTCTATAAATTAGATTTAATAATATATATATATATTCTACTCTCCAATGAGAATTAGTTAGGTGACATGTAATTCAAAAGTTCTAGTCAACAGAATACCTGAAGTGGATCATCAGTATGTGTAACCTCAAAAAAGTTTACCCTGGCTAGCTTCTAAAATTGAATATAAACTCATTTAAACCTGCTTTGTTCTCACTTATTTTTGAAGAACTGACCTGTGACCTGGATATAAAGCATGGCTTGGTCATGTCCGGCAGAGTTTTCAGCCTTCACATTCACCCGGTAAACTCCTGGCTTCTCATAACGGTGCTGAATGGGTTCATCTGTTACAGTCAGGTTCTCATATATAGCCCTGACCCCGTCCATTAAATCCACCTGATACCTGGTGCTGCTGGTGTCACCCTGAGGAGTGAAACAAATACAATCACAATTACAGATCTCTAAAATTCTCTAGTTTATCAAATTATAAACACAATTTTCAAGACACTGCAGGAATATGCACTGTTTTAATGCACTAGTTAATTTTGTTTTTGTTTTTTCAAATAGTTATTTTCAGTCTGTTGTAAAGAAAACATCCAAAATAGGCTTCTAGGTGTTTCTTTTGTTAACCTTTATCTGTAGATTTCAATTATACAACTTTTGTAGATATGTTTTTCTGCATTGAGCCATAAATCTCCCCTTCAGCAGCTTTCATTTAATTTATTTCTACGTTCTCAATGTTTTTTTTTTTACAAAGTTAATATTATTTACAACAAATTATATACAAAATTTTCATCAACACAAATTAATGTAAAAATATCCCTGTCTGTTGGCAGTATTTTAGACACTCACAATAAAAAATTCTCTTTAAAAGCTCATTTTCAAATTTGTCAAAAAATAAATCACATATTTTAAGCCTTGCTTCATCCACTGTTGAGATTTTTGTGCAAGAAATATATGCAAAAATTTTATATTTGTTTAATTTGCATATTTTAAAGAATTGGTAGCAATACTTACTGTAATCAGTCAATTATGGAAGTATGATTTTGATTATTTTTGATCCAATTCATCTGCAGTGTCTTGCCTTATGAATCACAAATAATTAATGCACTTCACCTGCTCCTGATGGACGATAAAGGTGATGTCATCTCCAGGAGCCACTGCCAGCATCTGTCCTTTGATGCCCAGCTGCAGGCCTTTAGGGGGCAGCAAAGGGCAGGAATGCTGCTTTGCGCTCTGTTCTTTATTCAAGCCACCCTCACAAACATTAGCGATGACCTTTCGGTAACTTTAACAGACAACACAAGACATGTTAGCCTTGACTTGATTATTTGCTTTAAACTGGAAAATCCATGTGTTTCTGAGACCTGAACGGAATCAGTTAGTTATAAGATGCATTGCTTACTTTAACAACAATGGTGATCTGTTACAAGAGGTGGAAAAAACATCTATTTAATGTGTCTGATTTAACATAAAACTTATAATAAATAAATAATAAACAAAACAAAACAAAACTTTGTTTTGAGTTTACTATTTTGCATTAGCGATTTGGCTCGATGAGAGTCTGCTAAATCTACTCTACATAGCCTACCGTTATGTAGGACCAGACAGAATCTGTGGACATTTTTTGCTATTTCAGCAAAGAATTTTGTAAATAAAAATCTGCTGATATATGATGAAAGATTTTCATATCATAATGAGTATCATAACGAAAAACTTAATATATAAAAAAAAAAAATACCTTTTTAACTTTTATTCAATGTTTACAATGCAAATCCAATTAAATTATTTTTTTTGTAAACAAAGTCTCTCACTTTGTTTTTAAAATATCTTAAATATCTACTCAAAGACAAAAAATATTACTTTAAAAACCGTATTGTAAATAAATCAAATTAACGTTTTCATATTAGTCAATAATATTACTGAAAATAATAAAAAAACTGATTAGATATAAATTTACACACATTTACACAAGTAAATAAACAGACTCAATGATTGGCAGATTCCGTGTGGGCCTACCGATATAGTATTGATGAACACAAGTGTGATTTAGTTTACGCATTAAATTTGTATACTAATAATGCAGTGAAATCTGATCTTTTTGTTTAATCTTGTAAATGTAATTGGTTGCTGCAGTAATCATGTCAATACTGAGAGTGTGTCAGTGTGGAAAAAGAGGATGAAAAATGTAATATTTTTTCTACAGTTTTCACATATAAAACGGAATTCATTTGCTTTTCACTACATATTAATTACCACAAGTTTTTTTCTCTAATAGATGATCTCTAATGCATCACCATTTCCAGGTGGTCTATAGCAGTGGTTCCCAAAGTAGAGGTTGCGAGACAATAAGGGGGGTGATTTCCAAAAACAAATTAATTTTATTAAACTATTAGAATTACCATATTTTATTAATAACCTACAAAATAAAAAAGTTGTAGGTACTAGTTACATTAAAAAACAACATGCAAATAAAAAAAACATCAGCCTTTCAAAAAAATGTTTGCAACTCCTAGGGTGATTATGTTATATTAAAGATGCAGCAAAAGCGTCAGATGCAGCACATTGATTTTATGGCACCAGGTTAAACTTTCCGACACCTTAACAATGAATAGACTTGGGTCTATTTTGTGTGCCATTTATATATTTATAACCACCTTAGACGATATTGGGGGTCGCCAATCACTGGCAATGCAATTTTGGGGGTTGCAGGATAAAAAGTTTGGGAACCCCTGGTCTAAATAGCTTAAACATCCTGCCAGTAAAGAAAAAAACATGCAAATAGAAAAACATTAACAAGATCAACATCAGCCGTTTGATAGCAAATTCTCATAACACATGTAAATACAGAAAAATCTGGCATTGGGGGACCCCAAAAAGTTATGAAGTTGGCTGTTTCATGTGTTGTCAGAGATCTGAGAGATGATTTGTTTATTTTAACATTTTGGTCATATAGTTCCTTGCTAATAGTATTTTTTAAGCCCTAATAATCTGACAAATTATACAACTGTTAAATAAAATGTTTCTTTTTTATTTAAAAAAAAAAAAAAAAAAAAACGTGTTTTTATTAGTTTGACATTTTTCTCACCAAAAACAACACAACAACAATAAAAAAAAATTCAAGAAATATGCATGATAATACAAAGAAAATAATGGTAATGATAATTAAAATAAAGGGAAAAAAATACTATTAACAAGCAATTAGGGCATACACATGGTTTCAATGAAAATACAAAGAGGCAAGCAATAGGGGTAGTGAGCATATTAAGCATTAAACTACTGCACAGAATTTGCATTATATTGGTGCAGGTGATCAAGAAATGGTTGCCATATATTGCAAAACTTATCAATAACTCCATAACGGACTCTTTCCATGTGCAATATTTAAGTGAGGTAAGTTAACCATGTCTTAAATTGAGGAGGAGAATCTGATTTCCACAGTTTTAGAATGAAACTCTTAGCAATAACCATTCCATAAATTATAGAGCTTTGTATGGACACATAATCCAGCAGAGAATCCAAATAAAGCAATTTCTAATAAAATGTTTCTAAATAAAAAATAAAAAGTTTGTGGGTTCATTACTTTTTTGGGGGCCCATAGCACATTTTCGTTGTGGTTTTTGCTATTTGCAGCACGTTTCTATATTTGCATTTGTTGGCAACCAATGTTTTCTCAATGTTGTAAATGTTTTTCTATTTGTATGTTTTCTTACCTTGCAGCATGTCTAAGCGCACTCGGCCACTGTACATCTGCACGAGATGCCAGAAGCAAACAATAAAAGGTGCTAATACACACTTGTGGTATGCTGTAATTTGAGTGGAAAGTCATGATCCTAACCTTTATCTCCACTGTGAAATCTGAGCTGGCCAGACAGTGATTCATCTTTTAGAAATCAATAAAATATTGCTGTCTGGGACTCTGGGAGTCTGGAGACTAGTAGTGTCTACTGTGACTTTAAAAGCTTGGCTTAAATTGAATTGTGCTGTTACTGCTGAGACTGTATTCACAACATGCAGAGACTACTCTACTAAACCTGGAAGCACTTTTTGAAACATCTCAACTTGAAAAGCGGATATGATGCAAAATTAATGTGTTTGGACTACTGATATTACACGTGAGGTATCAATGATTAAATAAATATTGAATTAATACTACCGGTAATTAAAAACTAACGGTCAAAAGTTTTGGGGTCAGTTTTTTATGTTTCTTTTTTTTTAAAGAAAATTATTCTGTTCATCTAGGCGGCATTTATTAAATGTAAAAAAATGCTAAATTGATAAATTTTATTAAAATTTGAAATAAGCTTTCTTATTGTATGTGGTTTCAAATTAAATTATTCCTCTAGTCATCATTGCTTTCATTACTATTACATTAATGATTATTATTATTAATATTAGAGGGATTTCTGAAGCATCAGGTGACTCTGAAGACTGGTGTAATGAAGCTGAAATTTTATCTTTAAAATCACTAAAACTACTTTTGAAAAGTTGTTTTATATATTCCAATAACATTTCAACTATTTAACTATTTCTACTGTATTTTTGATTAAATACATGCAGTATTGGTGAGCAGAATAAGCTTATTTTAAAACATTTCAAAATCCTACTGACCAAACTTTTGACCGGTAGTATAATTAATATATAATATAATCTGACCATTCAAACTATTCTCTCAAAAGAATATGTCAAGCATATTTTATTAAGTAATATATTTTTATGCTAGTACAATGATATTAGTATGCATTCTATATAAAGTAGCATATACTAAATTACATATTTAGGACTAAATTGGTGCACATTTATTATAACAAACATGTTAAGGTATATTTTACGTGTAACACTCGCAGATGTTTTATGAAATTTCACTTTAGTATACACTCAGTAAACTACTAATTCTATGGCTTTAATATTTTAAAATGAAATTTACATCATATTTATGAATTACATTTAATGAAAAACACTTTGGGCTCTATTTTAAGGATCTAGACGCAAAGTCTAAAGCTCAGGGCGCAAAAGCATTAAGAGAGTATCTGAATCCACTTTTGCTATAAGGATCTAGGCGCAAAGTCTAAAGCTCATGGCGCAAAAGCATTAAGGGCGTATCCCAATTCACTTTTGCTATTTTAAGGATGGAAAAATACACTCTGCACACTGGCGCATGGTCTGACAGGGTTGTGATTTACCCCACCTACTTTCTTGACCAAAACACCCATGGGTCCACAAAGTGGCGTAAATGGATTTACTTTTTAAACAACATGGTGCGGAACGGGAAATTAGGGTTGGTCTGAAAATAGCAACAAATCGCTCCAAACACATCTTGCGCCTTATTGCGTTGGGGGTATGATAGGGCCCTATATGTTATATAAGGTTCAAATTTATGTATTAAATTTTATACTTGAAATTAATAATTTATTTTAAATATAATATGTATTTTAAATAGGTTTTAAGTAAGTTCTTATGTACCAGAGAACTAAACAAGAGTAAAGCCACAAGTCAAGCATATTTAATTCTACTTTTAAATAAATCTCAAACAAAACATCGAGTACACTTACAGGCTTGTTTAAACTTTTTTTGTCAGTATAAATTAAGTATACTGTAAGTGTAATATTATAGGTGTGTAAATGTATATTTATTAGAAGTACATAAAAAGTAGTGTAAAAGTATGCTTTCATATTTTTAAGCTTAAAAAAACAAACTGGTACTACTGTCAGTCTGAATAAAGCCTTCATTTACGGTGTCTATGACATGAATGAGTGGGTGTTTTCCGCAATTTGACATTTACCATGCTTGTTCAGTGTAAAAATGGATATATTCTGTAAGCATGGTGATTATGCTTTATACATTTCACAATGTTTAACAGTGTGTGTGTGTGTGTGTGTGTGTGTATGTATGCGTGTGCATGTGTGTGTCTGTGTCTGTGTCTGTGCATTACCCTGTGCTAGATTTATAGCTGTGTCCTAAATGGCAGTTTTCAGGTGGAGCATCAGGATTATGCCAGAAGTCCGGATAACAGCGATCCCCCTCTAACCTGAGACTGGGAGCTCGCTCAAAGCCATAGTCACTGAGAACACACACAGAAAGTGAGAGATGTAAAGCTCTATTTTTAGCCTCAGATCTAATTCACAATGCACAGTACTGGGGATTGAAAATGAAGTCAGGACTCTAAGCTAAAGCAAAGATGTCAGTGTTTGATTGCAATTAACTTGAAGTGTGCAAAGGTTATCTCTCTGTTTCCTACCAGGTGAAGTCTTTCTCTGAGCAGGGGCAAGGTTTGGCTGTTAGCGCTGATGTATAACTTTTCCCTTTAATGCAGAACGATGTCTCTTTCCTCCTTCTGTAAACTCGCTCTTGGCCCATGATGCATTTCTCTCCCTGTAGGAGAAAACATGTCATGCATTTACATTCGTGGTATAGTAAACTGATTCATAATCTAGATGACAATTAATTTTCATAACAGACACAACTAATTTATGACTGTTTTGTGTTTTTTTTTCTTCATTTATTATAATTATGGTTGTACTTCACTTAATGGGTTAGTTTACCCAAAAATGTGAATTATGTAGTTAATTGTTCATCATCATGTTGTTTTATTGCCCTGAGACCTTTGTTCTTTCGATATATACAAATTAAGATATGTTAGGTGAAATCAGAGTGCCCTTAGCAAGGTTAATCGACCTTCAGCTATGGCCCCCGCTGCTGGAATCAGCTTCAGAAATAATCAGATGTGCTCCAACATTAGGTACATTGAAATCAAGACTGAAAACACATCTGTTTAGCTGTGCCTTTACTAAATGAGCACTGTGCAACGTCCGACAGATCGCACTATTATGTCTTTTTTTTCTTTTTCATTCTTTTATAATCTGTTTTAAAACATTTTAATCTGTTTTTAGAATTAGAACTAGAAATCTTTATTGTCCACTCGTGTGAAAATTTGTTTTTGGCCTCCCAAACATCACAAATACAAAACACAAACACAAACACAAAGCTTCCTACACCACAGTTTACCAACACACAATACTAGCTCCAATACTAAACCCCAGAATAACAAAGTACTTCATGCTCATTGATTCAATATTCTAATTGCAGACGGTATAAAAGATTTCTTAAAAATATTTGTTTTTGCTGTGGGTACTCTGTATCGTCTACCAGAAGGAAGCTTTTCAAGTTCAAAATATAGAGGATGGGTGAAGTCCTGAACTATCTGTGTTGCTTTGTGTTTGGTCTGGTTTAAATACTGTTCCACAAGCTGCTTCTGGGGGTCCATTATGATCTTACTAGCCGTTGAAATATTTATTTGTAATAATTTTTAATTCTTTTCTTGTTTCTTTTGTTTTTGTTTATGTAAAGGCCTTTGAATTACCATTGTGTATGAAATGTGCTATATAAATCAATCTTGCCTTGTTATAATTGGCACAGCCTGTCCTGAGGAGATTCAAAGTCCAGAAAAACATTAAAAAAAACATCTTTAAAATATTTTATATGCTGTCAGTGGTTTTAATGTGGATTTTAATATCAAGCTATGAGAATACATTTGTCCACAAAAAAATAGGATTTAATTTAACAGTTTCTACTCCTCAGTGTCAGTATAGGCTCCGCCTGTGCTTTGATTCATCAAGGATTAGACAGTGTCCTAGGCTGTCGCCAGTGTTGCCACTGGCTTGCATGGTTCAGGACTTGTAGAGCTGCCCATGGATGGATTTGCTCTTCAGTGTTTGAACTTTCTGCAGTGAATATTAAACAACCCAAGCTCATTCTGGAAACGGAGCCTTGCAGATGTTTCTGGAGACAGCGATTTACGTGGCCGGAGGTACGTACGGCTGCGTTTAGTTTTTTTCGAGCGACTGCTGCGGGGCGGTGTGGCGCCGCTCCGCCCCTCCTCTTCGCGCTCGCCGGCCGACGGCTCGCCTCCGAGTGGAGGGCTTTCCCGATGCAACCAGTTTGTCCGCTTAGCTCACAGCGTTGCATCGGCGGAGCGGAGGCCCCGGAGGAGGAGCCAGCCTGCGGGGACGACGACCGGGATCAAGTCCAGGGAACAGCGGTTCCGGAAATCAGTTAAGACGAAAAACAGAATCCGAAAAATAAGGGCGAGAACGCGGCGGGATCCGAAAACACGGTCGATATCGAAGACAAGAGAGGCCCCCGAGAGGCGCCCGAGACGCGAAAAATCACGCACAGCGGCCTCTCGTGGATCCGCGAAAACAAAAACCGCTCAAATACGTACCTCCCGGGACGTAAATCACGGTCCGCAGAAACGTCCGCAGGGCTACGCTTCCACAATGAGCCTAGGTTGATATTAAACCACACTAAACTGAACTTCAACACTGAAAACTGGACTGACACTGTTTCAATTTACATTTATCTTCTATACGAAGCTGCTTTGACACAATCTACATTGTAAAAGCACTATACAAATAAAGGTGAATTGAAAATTGAAATTGGATTCAAACAGTATATAGTGATATCCAGAGTGTACATCACTGCAAAATGCTCTTGAACACGCACAATATACTGACACTGAGGAGAAGAAACCATTGAACGAAGTGAGTATTTTTGTTGTATGTGATCACATAAAGATATTTTCATAGCTTGATAATATTTTGATTGAACCACTGAAGGCATATGGTCTATTTTAAGGATGTTTTTGACACCTTTCTGGAAAGAGTCAGGACTGTTGAGGATAAGGAAGCTCTCGGTTTTCATCCAAAGCATCTTATTTTGTGTTCCGAAAATGAATGAAACCTAAAAATGAGTCTCTGAGGTTTAGTAATTAATAACTGAAGTTTCATTTTTGGGTGAACTAAATCTTTGACAAGTACTTACAGTCTACTTATGCAAGAAAGAATCAAGTTACAGCTATATAGGTTGAGGGGTGGTACCTAAACATACACTTTGTGTAATAACTATGATAAGTACATAGTATGTACATTGTGACATTTGGTATTTAGCGTTTTTGTTGTTGTTGTATTTTTGGTTTGTATTTGATGAGCAGGAACTTGTTGAGAGGTCAGTCATAAAACAGTGTGATATCACCTGTAGGTCAGTGAGCTTCCAGGAGTCATAATCAGCTTCTGTGCACTGTCTGGGAAATGACTGCCGAAAATCCACCTTCACCAGCTCCCAATCTGAACGGTAACTTATGTGGCCAAACACCCTGTTCACATCAGTAAACAAAAATAAACACATAAGCCTCCATCTGGCCCTTAATCCATAAACATAGCATTATCCACCAATCTGTGACAAAACGAAAAAAAAAAATCATTCACTGAAACAAAGTTATTCATCCCTTTCACTAAACGCAAGACTATTGGAGTGTAACCTTGACTTTGAATCACAACACATTCTATACCCAATTAAGCATCTTGGGATCAGCAAATGAATAACTCAGTCATCAGCAGTGTGTTACTAATGAGCAGAGGCCTCTTTAATTGAGGCCTTTGAATCTCACGTCGCCTTTATGAACAGGGCAGCCTCTTTATAATACAGGGACCACCTGCTGTTCTGTGTCTATGGGAAGATGCTCTCTATTTGATGCCAAATAAAGAACCGTTCACCACCACAAGGTGGAACCCTGCATCTGTGGTTTTGAAATTCAATGCAAGGGTGTTGTGAACAATTACAAGTGCTTTAAAAAGGCAGTACTCATATCTGACATAGGCTATATTGCTTTACAATGGTCTGTGTCCAAATGTATTAACCATCTGAAGGCTAGCAGTGGTAAATAAACTCAAATTACTCTGCCAATTGTAGTCATACAGATGTGTTATACAGTAATCTTTAGAAACTGTAAAATGTTTATTTTTACTTGTGTGGACCCACAATAAAAGTGTTTTTTTTGGGGGGGAAATGAAGAATGAAAATTTCCCTCAAGGAAGCACTTCACTTAGTTAAGTAGGAATATTCAGTTTGTGATTGACTAAAAGTTTGAAAGCAAAATCCTCTTCTGCAAAATGTTCTTTATAAGTCAATGGCAGTCAAGCTTAGACAGCACAAACAAATTGACTGAGAGCAAGGAAAATGAAATGTATATTATTATATCCTAATAGCCATAAAATCAACACAGGAATCATAAAAATAACAAACAGTGACTAAATCATTCAGAAAATGTACAGTTACTTCAAATTATTTGAAGCCATCCTATAAAAATAACAACTCACCAATTACCACAATTTATGAAGTGTAATATTAAACTAATTTCAGAAGAAGAGCGCTCATGATTGACCCATCTGGCCCACATCGGCTAATTATGATCCTCCAATCAAAAGATCCCAAGTCACTATATCCACATTTCCTTTCTACAACTCTCTATATCTGGAACAAACCCCTCTCCTCCCCTTCTTCCTCCTTTGTCCAGAAGGGGTGACACGGCAGACCAGTAATTAGCACTGTTGCCTCACAGCAAGAATACAACTAGCTCCGCGTCCTCGCCGGGCCATCTAGTATTTCTGCGCAGAGTTTGCATGTTGTCCCTGTGTCTGCGTGGGTTTCCCCTGGGTTCCCCGGTTTCCTTCCACCGTTCAAATATGCTCTATTTTAAAGACAAAATTAGCCTGAGTCTCTTTTCCTAAATGTCTCACTCTCAGGAAGTTCACCCTAGCCTTAGCAGCGAGGGAGTTTTGAGTTCGACCTGAGCTCTATCTCCCCTTGCCCTGCGAAAGGGAGGGAGCCCTGGGCTCGAGGATCCCTTGAGCTCAGGGCTGTCTTCCGGGACAGCATGCCAAACAAGCTATTTATAAGTGTGAATTCTTGAAATTGCAGTTTTAAACCATACTATTGAATGCTAAACTGGTCAAAATTAATACAGGACCCTATAGCTATTCGGCTGCATTTGAAATAGCATACCTTTCTATTATACAGTAGGCAAAAAAAAAAAATTTGTGACCAATAAAGTACAGTTCTGGAAAACAAAACTAAGAAACCACTTTAACAGTATTATCAGTTATCTGGAGTTGCCATTAATATGTGCATGTTCAGAGGAAAATGCTAATTTGTGTTATTTTATAAACTACTAAAATAACTTGTTTTCACAATTTCAAAGTGATATTTCATTACTTCATAAGATAATAATGTGTTTAAAATATAATAGTTAGTATAAATTAAACCACCAAAGCTTTCCCGAGAGATGGGTTGCGGCTGGAAGGGCATCCGCTGCGTAAAAACATATGCTGGATAAGTTGGCGGTTCATTCCACTGTGGCGACCCCGGATTAATAAAGTGACTAAACCGAAAATAAAATAAATGAATGATGAAAACATCAATGCTTAAATGTCCATGATGTATGTTGTTCATAAGATTTTTTTCTTTCAAGGACAATAAACCATACTACTACTACTTAACAAAAATGTTTTACTCAAAAAAGTCCTAGCTATTAATGGCAAACCCAGAGAACCGCTATTACCTTTTAAAGTGGTCTCTTAATTTTTATAGAGTTATTCACATTTATAAAGTACTAAAATCATGCAAAAATGTCCCTGGTGACCTACTCCTTCATGGTGAGATATTGAAGTGTGCATACAATGGACACTTTACTGAGGCCAATGGAGTGGATTTATGAATGGCAGTAAAGCGACACAACTGAAGCTGCATAGGGGATGGAGTTTGTTCCACAGAAGAAAGTAAAACAGGCTTGTTGATATGAGGGTGAGTATATGTTAACAGAGTCTTCTTTTTCAATTAACTAATTTTAAAGTTGGCTAATAGCATTTTTTAAAAGAGAAATAACTCATACTCACGTCATAACCAGAGTCTCATCTCCAGGTTCACTCAGAAGTCCGTCCACAAACACAGAAGTGCTGGTAAAGTTATGAATGCTCCACGTTCGTCCTTCATCTATGCTGAACCTTAAACAAACGTTGCAATCATCATGCATGTGAGTATCATGTATGTTTGCACTATTATTAATAACCATAATTTGATGGATTATATTTTTTTCATAGAGTGCCCAAATACACGTTATATACTGTACATGCAATGTATGTTGATATGTTTAGTTCATGTATACATTTGTTGATCTTTCCCCATTTGTTTGTGATGGTTTGCTCCATTTATTATTGGACTGTTTTAATATTGTTACGGGGGTGCTTTTAGTGAGAATAAAATGCAAAGGTAAGAAAGATGGAGCAACAGTTTATTTATTTATTTTTTTGAGTTTTATGCCTATTCTGCAAAAAAAGATTTGAAACTTGAACAAAACCAATAATATAATATAATATAATATAATATAATATAATATAATATAATATAATATAATATAATATAATATAATATAATATAATATAATATAATATAATTTAATATAATATAATATAATGTAATATAATATAAAATAAAATAAATTATAATATAATAAAATATATAATATAATATAATATAATATAATATAATATAATACAATGTAATATAATATAAAATAAATTATAATATAATATAATATAATATAATATAATATAATATAATATAATATAATGTAATATAATATAAAATAAAATAAATTATAATATAATATAATATAATATAATATAATATAATATAATATAATATAATATTTACATTAAAAACATCTTCTGAATGCTATTTTTCTTATTATAAACATCCTGAACTTCCTGTCGTCTAAAATAAAAATCAGTCAGTCAGTTGGTGTTGATTTTCACAATGTGAAATATGAGGGTTTGCAGGCTACAAGCCCGCATTAGCACTACAAGCTCTTAGTCTTATACTGACAGAAGCGGTTGTTTGCTCTGCCAAAACTCAATGCCGATGAAGCCTTCAAGGCTTATGTGAGAGATGGTAATGATTTTCTCTTTGATCTTCATATAGGATTCCTTTTTACTCGCATTTGAGGAGCAAGGTGAACATGATACGTAGTGTGTGAATCACTTCATTTTCTGTGAGTCTGAGGCTGACTGAGTGCAGAGATTTGGTCTGCTCGGTGGACTGAAGAGCCCTCCAATGCCAAATCAGCTTCTTAAAGCAGTCATTCAAAGGGATTACCAGCACCCAATCAGATCAGTAAGAATCAGGGAGGGAATGTCTTGAATTCTTGTTTTTTATACTAGTCTGACCTTCTTTACTGCGTTTACTGCTCTGTTTATCGTGTCAGCAACTGTGCACATTTGGGTTTAGTTATGTTTTTGAGTTTGAATGCATGCAAATGATTTAACTTTACTACTGTACTTAACTACATTTCAACTCACTGTTCAAATGATCTGTTTACAGGTAATCTCAATGATTCACTTAACTTACAAACTGATTAAAAACTGATGTCAAAACTGGTGTCCACTCAGCTTGAGTGTTTGCAATTGATGGCATGAAATGTCTAATGGTGAGTTTTAGGATTTATTATTGTAAATAAAATCACATTTAGGTCACAACTGTCAGTTGTTTGTGAGCTTAATCTGCTGTAAAAGGCCAAGTTGTTTATACCCTCTCGGCTTGAATGTGGAAATGTCCACATAAGCGTATTTCCATCTAAACATTCAAAATTAGAACATAATGTTAAAGAGATCATTTGCCCAAAAATTAAAATTCTGACATGTACCCACCATTTTTTGAGTTTCTGGTAGCACTTTATAACAACTACACACTATGAATAATTTGATAAGCCTTAGCATAGTGAATTCCTTATCTGTTAAGCATTACCTCTACATTAATAGAGATGATAAGCAGTTTATAACTGCAGATACAAATACTCTTTTCTTGACTTAGATACACATTTAAAATGTGCTTAATGATTGTATTGTCATACTTTGTTATTGATTTATTTTTCATTACTAAATTAGGTCTTGCATCATTTACAAACCAGTTATTTGAGAGAAGTTGCTGGGTTTTAAAGACTGCGTAAGTAAATGATTAATAAACTTTTCAAATAAACATGTATATATTTTATTATTGAGCCATATATTAATAGTTAATTTTTAAATTAATAAATGCTTTATAGACTCAACTTCATCCAGTTTTGTGACCTAATCTAAAGTGAGGACAGTTAAAGGCTCTGTTAAATTTTAAACAGGAAAAAACAACAACTTTATTCATTTCTATTAATTCAATAACGAAACTGTATCAAATGAAAAATACAGTAAATCTTTGTTCTCTTAATTAAAATATGATGTGCAGTTTAAACATTGCTAAATGACATTGAAATGTTGCATTATATTATATTGTTAAATTATTATATTATTGTTGTTTTATCCAATTTTATGTCATATTTTGACACTCCTGTTATTCAGCAAAGTTTAAACTGTACAGTAGATATAACTTTTAGATAAGATTGCAAATATTATGGCTCATTTGATACTGAGCCTTTAACTGTCATTTATAAGTGATTTATAATGCATATATAGTTCTGACTTTAGATTAGGTCACAAAACTGGATGAAGTGGATTTAGTAAAGCATTCATTAACATACAAATTAACTAAAAGTATATGCCAGAATAATAATATATAAATGTTGATGTGAATAGTTTAATAATCATCTACTAACTCATTCTGAATTATCTTTAAAAACCCAACTAAACTTAAATACAAATGATTTGTAAATAATGCAATAGTTAATTTAGTAATGAAAAATTAACCAGTAACAAGCATGAAAGTACAATTATTAAGCACATTATAGGCATCCACTAATTTCCATTTAAAATTTTTTTTCCTAATATGAAATTCATTGGGTGCCAGCAACGAACATTCTTCAAAATATCTTCTTTTTTGTTCAACAGAAGAAAGAAATCCTAAAGGTTTAAATACACAAGAGTAACAAGAAATTAGTTTCCATTTTTTTAAATAACACAAATGAATGCTCATGACTTTTCCCCACAGGTGTAGAACATAACAGACACAAAACTATCTTGGATATAAATCAAGTATAAAGTTTCATGAAATGCTGACACATTTTTCTCTGCGTTACTTCTTTATAATATTTGTATATTTTTATATTTTCCAGCACTCATATTATGTATTTTTTTTGTTTTGTGTTTTTACTTGTTTGAACATTTTTATTATCATTAATTAACATTATGGTCATCAGTATATATGTCAAATAATCCAATTATTAATAAATAACATGAAACTATAAAATATCAGGGTGGCAGGATGGTTAGCACTGTTGCCTCACAGCAAAAAGGTCACTGGTTTGAGTTCTGGCTGGACTAGTTATCAATCCTGTGTGGAGTTTGCATGGTCTTCCTATGTCAGCATGGGTTTCCTCCGGGTGCTCCAAAGACCTATGTGTGAATTGAATAAACTAAATTGGCCTTAGTGTATGAGTGGGTGTGTAAATGCAAGATTGTATGGGTGTTTCCCAGTGCTGGGTTGTGGCTGGAAGGGCATTCGCTTTGTAAAACACATGCTAGATAAGTTGCCGGTTCATTCCAATGTGGCAACCCTTGACAAATCAGAGACTAAGCCAAAATAATTAATTAATTGATGATTAAACATAACATACCAATAAGCTATTTTTACTTGTAATGCTTAAGCACATTAAAAACCAAGTTTGCTTTTAGGTAAAACCTGCAAAAGAAAGACTAAATGCATTTACTGGAGTAGCATTTTTATTTCTACTTAGTATCACTATTAGGAGTATCTACTTTTTTTTTTTTGGTGCTTGATTTGTGCACTTTATCCTCCTCTGACTACAATTTTATATGTCCAGACATTATGTTACAGAAAAATGACTTACTTGAGTATTTTTAAAGGGATCGAGGTGTCCTTAATGGCCACAATGACACCACCATGATCTAGATAGAGAATGTGGTGCTCTTCTTCAAAAACCTAAAGAAATAAAGGCATTTAACTTTAGTCACCATCACTGTAATAATCAAGAATCAGCGTCGTTAGAGAAAATTCAGTTGAGCAAACGAGAGGCAGCAACAATCCTGGAAATCACAGAGAGGACATTAAGACAGACAGATGAGTCTGCCACATACTGAGCCCTGAAACGCTACAAATGAGAGGGTGTCAGATGAGATTGGGCAGAATGAGGACATGAGAAAGAGAGAACTCAAAGAACAAACCCAACCCAGTCTGCAGGGAAAGATGGGTGTTAAATAATAGCAAATCTCAAGCGTCGTGACAAGTCACAGAACAAGACATTTTTCAGACAGCGAATAATCGCTGCAAAACTAGCTCGCAGATCATTAGTGTTGTCTTTGAGTTCAATCTCACCTGTCTCCAGGTCTTGCCACAGTCTGCCGTGATGTACATCTCCTCTTTAAACTCCACCAGCTGAGAGCCGAGGTTACCTGAAGAGAAGATTCAGACAGAACAACTTCACAAAAACACAGAGACAGAGAGAGCATCTTTAATTTGGCTCTTGTTTAACTTGAGGCGAAGCAGCAATTTTCTTCACTTTGTTTGATTTAAGAGCAAGGGAGGAGTAGACGTGAGCGAGTTACATATAAAGAGAACATGACTGGGAAAAAACTGGAGGCTGTTGCGGATCAAAGACTTAAAACTTGTTAGAGCTGAAAATTTTACTGAGAAAGAGAGTGTGCAATAATGGCAAGAGAAAGCTGGGGTTTGATGGAGACTATCATTTATTGGCTGAAAACAAGCTGCACTTCATTGATAACTCTTTTCAAAGTAGAGGCTGAGGGACTCTAAACTAATCATGTTTGTTAGTAAGTGAAGTCAAGAGAGAACTAGTCAGTGCCGTGTTTCAATCCGCCTACTTTTATGCGCATTTTGTATACCACATCAAAAATGGTTTAATGGTAACACCAAGATGTGCAGACATTTAGAAAATAAGAATAAAAATGTATGTGCACAACTCAGTAGGATAAACTTTTTATCTGATAAGAAAAAAATAGGAACTACAGAACTACATTCTTTCATTAATTTTAAGGGGGGTAGGGGGGACCGAAGCACCTGAAAAGAAACCGATGCGAACGCGGGGAGAACATGCAAACTCTTCACAGAAACGACAGCTGACCCAGCCGAGTCTTAAACCAGCAACCTTCTTGCTTTGAGGTGACAGTGCTAACCACTAAGCCACTTAGCCAAAATGCTGCCCGCATAAACTACAATAGAAACACATTTACCAAATAACTTGCAGTTTGCGTATCAAAACGTTATGTGATTTAGTTTTAACAGATTATGTGTAAACAAAAATATTTTGATTGGATGCTATTAATGGACAAACATCTGACGTGTTGTTTGATTATTTTAACATCACTTTCTGAATACTTTTAGTCTCCTAATGGACATCTTCCACCTCATAAAGTCAACACACATTCATAAATTATAAAAAAAAGGCCAACAGTAGCTATGTTTCCATCCAAAATGCGAATTAAATATTTGCGCAAAACTGGAATATTGCATAAAAGATTTGCAAATAATGCAAAGTTTAAAAGACAGCAAAATCGTCACATCCCGATAAACTGACGCCAAATATCAAAAAGGAAAATGAAATTCAATGAAGTAAGAGAAGCTGCATGAATGTTTTTCTTATATAATAAATTACTTGGACCTCTAAGGGACGAAATGCAATGAACACATGGTGATCTTTGAGAGCACAGTTGCTCAAGATAGTTTATGGATAATAATATTATATAATATAATAATATAATAATAATAATAATTTTGAAGCTATGGGGGATGGTCGGCCTGCTGGTCTTTGCGCTAACTGGACTGGCCTCTTACCTCCATGTGGAGGGCTTTCCTGTAACAACTGGTTTGTCCAGTTAGCTTGTTGTGTACGTCGCCGGACTTGAGACGCAGAGAGGAGTTAACCATGAAAAAGCGCACACAGCAGCCTCTTGTGGATTTGCGGAAACAAAAACTGCAAAAATATGTACCTCCCAGAAACGTCTACGGGACTACGTTTTCAGAATGAGCCTGGGTTAAAATAATTTCTAATAAATACCACAATTCGGCCAATCATCGGATTTCATCGTTGGGCTGATAGAATGGAATCTTATACATGACATTTGTTAATGTGCATCCAAGAAAGATGTTTCCATTGTAGTTCATGCACATTTTTTTCTTATCGGATAAGTAGTTTAATCTACTCAGTTGTTCGCATAATTTTTTTATGTGCATTTTAAAATTTATACCTATCTTGGCATTTTCGTCTTGGGTTTTTTATGCGATATTCCAAAAAAATAGATGGATGAAAACAGCTAGTGGCTTCTCCTACAGCAGCATATTCCATTTTTATTTTCTATTTGACGCCAGTTTATCAGTAAGTGACAATTTTGCTGTCTTTGCCTCATTGGATGGACACAGTGCTTTATTCACAGATGCTTTATGTGAGATTCCAGTTTTGCACATACTCTAAATCGAATTCACATCCTTGAATGGAGGCATAACTAGAGTGACGCCATCTCTTTAGTGAGTGTCTTTGTGTGTGAGTCTCATGCAACCCTGGGGGAATAGACAGACTTTGTGACCTTGTGAACTTACAATAGATCTAGCCTTGGATTCAAGAACATGAATGTATTGTTTCCTCCATTTCACATGAACCCTGTGGCAATAAAGACCAAGTATTTCATATATCTCTGCCTGCTTCTTTTTGCAGCTCAGTGGTTGAGCTCAACACTTACAGTAGAAACTGAAAGGCTTTTTATTTTGTCTTTATATGGCACATTATATTCAATTTTCCCTACTAAAAGTACTTCTTTGCATTACTTTTTTTGGTTTAAAAAATTGCTCACTTTGTATGTTCTTTCATGACTTTCCTAAACATGTTGCAGTGCAGATTCGGATCTGGACTTTAATTATGTCTTGCAACTGAAGAGTTGAGGCATAAAGAGCTTTATTTGATTTGAGCTTTTAAGCTTTCACTGCAATAGTGAGAGTCCTAAAGTGTTCGAGTTATTATTAAGACTGACCTGCACCCATTATGAGGCCTGGGGCAGAATCCTTAGTGTGGACCGTTCCAGATACATACGGGTTGTCGGCCCATCGCAAATGCAGATGAAGATGACAGTCAGGCTGCGAAGAAGAACAATTAAAAATACAAATTTATTTCTCTTTTGGTAACTACTGTATGCACAGTCCTGTTGATCAGTTGAACATTGACAATCTTGGTAAATATGAGCAAACACATCTGCATTGATTATCTTTTTAATATTTCATTAATAAAATGCAGAAAAATATAAGCTTTCCATACAGTACAACAATTTCAAGTAGGGAAAGTTAGATTTAAAAAAAAATCAATAAACATTGGCCACATTTATTAGCATCTTCAGTAACTGTTGAGAGTTAAATATCTTTGATGGGTTTTCCTATTCATATTTATTTGTTTCAGAAAATCAGTGGTGAATAGGAATATGAAATTGTTTAACCAGTGTTTCCACATCTGTCTATATGTTAAAGAGCCCCTATTATGGGTTTTTGAAAATGACCTAATGACCTAATGTATAACACAGTGAAGTGAAATATCTGGCTAAGGCTTAAATCTGAAAGTGCACCGTGTTTAAATCTATTGATTTATTTATAAAACAGTCGACTCATTGTGGCTCAAATGAATTGCTGTGGTAACAAGTCTATAGCAGTGCTGGCATGACACCATTATGAAACTTAAGCCCCGCCCATTTGTTGTGTGCACAGACCCGGGAAAATTAAAACCCCCATCCACAAACACTACAAAAGAAAAAGAGGAAGACAAACACTAGCAGATCCCAGTTGAATCAAGTCGCAAAGACGCTGTACTCTTAAGTGTGAGGGAAAGTTAGAGTTATTTTCCCCAATAAGGCTGTGTAGAGTCAGTGGTTGAGGTTTATTTTTGCAAAAATACATTGGCATTATAGTCTCAGCCTTGTGGTTTGAAATTACAGGAGTTATCTGGGAGAAATAACAAAATGGGAGGATGGTGGGAGATGGATCTGAAATACGAGAGACTCCCAGGAAAAAACGGGAGTGTTGGCAGGTATGCTCACACATACCCTCTGCACTCTGACTACTTTAAAATTGTTGATAAGCCTTGGTGGGCATTTCTCTCTGTCTCACGCTGAACGCAGTTGACCAATCGCAAAAGTCTGGGTCATCGCGCTAAGGAAGGGTTTGGGGAACTAATAAATGGCTGAACAAATCATATGGGAGTCGATGGGATAATTAGGTAAAAATAGATGCATATTATAAGACAATGAAAGTGTTTTTTGACCTTGCATGCATATCAGTCAGTTGTTGGAGAACCTCAAAACCAAAATATGACCCTTTTTAATGCATAATAGGGCTTTTTAAGAAAAATTGAGGCGATGACTCTCATTTTTTGAAGGTAAAATATTTAGAAGTATTAAATGGACAGTAAGGCATACTAATTAATATTTATATTATATTAGATATATATCTATTAGATATATATCTATATCTAATAGATACAAATTTGCTTTTGGGTTTTTAGGTTTTTCTTTTGTTTGAAATGCATTTGATTTTTTTTTTTTGTATTTCTATGTAATTTTTTTTTAAACAAGTTATGAATTTGTTATTGTATAGTTTTTTGTTATGTTTTATAATGTGTGTCATATGATGCTACTGCCCAACCTTAACTGCTGCGACTAAAAAGTTGTTAAACTTAATCATATGCTGTCTGAATGCAAGAATTAGTAGAGTCTTGCAGTCAGGCAGATTCAAAAAGCCTCTATATCACTACAAATGATTTGGGAGAGTTTCAGGGGAAAAACATTTCTCATTCAAAACCACATTTTTCATCATATTCAGTTGCCAGACACCTCTGGACCTTCAAAACAGACAGATATAAGAAATAAATAAATAATACAGCAACCTTGGAATAGTTTTTTGGTGGGTTTGTGCACACATGGATAAAAAGTGCTTCACGAATGATCTGTGATAGAAGAACAATCTTTGATCTCTTGCCATTTGATTAATTGTGATATTTTACACTGATTTTCAATGAATGGTTAAAATTTAGCAATTTTTTTAATGGAAGGTCAATGCAGCTTCATTTTTGACAATCACTAAAATAACAGTTCAGGCAGTTTGACACTTTTTTCACTAATGAAAATAAATATATAAAAATAAACATATTTTGTCGTAATGCATGTGTGTTGCAAAATAATAAATGAGCATCAAAAGTTCATCACGGCTATGTCATTGTTTAAACTAAATGACACAAAATTGTTCTCAGAGGTTAAATAAATGGTACAAAATATGAGCCAACTCTGAGTGTGCATGCAGGTGACACGTGAAGTAAATGAGTATACATTAATAAAAACTATGGATATGAAAAAGACTGTAGTGGCAGTATCAAGGCTGGATCTGTCAGTTTTTTCATCATATTCATAGTAAATTTCTGTTACCATTCAAAGCTTTGAAGACAAACATGTATTTTTACAACACACAAATGCTGAATATACAGTGCATCCAGAAAGTGTACATCACATTTTTTGTGTAGTAGCTTTATTCCAAAATGAATTAAATTAATTTATTTCCTCAAAATTCTCTACACAATAGCCCATAATGACAATGTGAAAAAAGAATTTTTTTAAATCGTTGCAAATTTATTAAAAATAAAAAAAAAACAGAAAAAAACACATGTACACAACTATTCACAGCCTTTGCTCAATACTTTGTTGATGCACCTTTGGCAGCAATTGCAGCCTCGAGTTTTTTTGAATATGATCCCGCAAGCTTGCCACACCTGTCTTTTGGAATTTTTACCAATTCCTCTTTGCAGTACCTCTCAAGCTCTATCAGGTTGAATGGGAAGTGAAGGTGTACAGCCATTTTTAGATCTCTCCAGAGATGTTCAATAGGATTTAGGTCTGGGCTTTGGCTAGGCCACTCAAGGATATTCACGAAGTTGTTGTGAAGCCACTCCATTGATATTTTGGCGATGTGCCTTGGGTCATTGTCCTGCTGGAAGATAACCCATCGCCCCCGTCTGAGGTCGCTGTACATTGCTGCATTCATCTTTCCTTCTATCCTGACCAGTCTTCTAGTTCCTGCTGCTGACAAATATCCCCACAGCATGATGCTGCCACCACCATGCTTCACTGTAGGGATGGTATTAGACTAGTGATGAGTGGTACCTGGTTTTCTTCAAATGTAATGCCTGGAATTCACTCCAAAAGCTTAATTTTAGTCTCATCAGACCAGAGATTTTTGTTTCTTATGGTCTGAGAGTCCTTCAGATGCCTTTTGGCATCCAGGTGGGAAGTGGCTTCCTTCTAGCCACTCTACCATACAGGCCTGATTGGTGTATTGCTGCACATATGGTTGTACTTCTGTAAAGTTCTCCTCCCTCCACAGAAGAACACTGGAGCTTAGACAGAGTGACCATCGGTTTATTGATCACCTCCCTGACTAAGGCCCTTCTCCCCCGATCACAGCTTAGATGGCCGGCCAGCACTAGGAAGAGTCCTGGTGGTTCCAAACATCTTCCACTTATGGATAATGGTGGCCACTGTGCTCATTGGAACTTTCAGAGCAGCAGAAATTTTGTATTAAAAATGTTCTGTAACCTTCCCAGCCTTGTGCCTCGAGACAATCCTGTCTCGGAGGACTACAGACAATTCCTTTGTCTTCATGCTTGGTTTGTTCTTTGACATGCACTGTCAACCCTGGGACCTTATATAGACAGATGTATACCTTTTGAAATCATGTCCAATCAACTGAATTTACCACAGGTGAACTCCAATTAAGCTGCTGAAACATCTCAAGAATGATCAGTGGAAACAGAATGTACCTGAGCTTAATTTAGTCACATTGGGATTTTAAGGTTCTATCTGCGTTCTGAATGATATGATATTGATGATAATGATATGATATTGATGATAATGATATGATATTGATGATGATGATAATGAGATATTGAGCTTCAAAATTTCTGCATTCCATATAGCAAATATGCTGTGTGTAACATTTGTTTTTTTAAATAAAAAAAATCCTAAAATGTAAATGACTTATTAAAAAAACATCCCATAATGTAAATCAGTTGTCATGTAATAAGAATATGTCAACACCTCAATTTTGACAAAAATGTCAGATAGAACTTTATAATTCTAAGGTGACGATATGCACATGTGATTTTTCAGTTTTTTTATTTTTAATAAATTTGCATAAATTTCAAAAATCTGTTTTCACTTGTGTGCGGAATTTTGAGGAAATAAAATGAATTTAATCCATTTTGGAATAAGGCTGTAATAAAAATGTGGAAAAAGTGAAGCGCTATAAATACTTTCTGGATGCACTGTAGAGATCTTCAAAATATTTGGTATACAATATTAAGAACTATGCTATAATGGCAGAATATTTAGTGTGCAGTATTACTTTAAGTGATTGAAAAAATTGTTTAAGACTATACATTTTTGTTACAGCATATTTTGGATGCTGTGTTCTGTTTCTTTTTTTGTCATTGTTGTTGCAGTGTTGTGTTAACTATTGTGTTGTGTTAACTATTGTTTAGTTTTGAGTACAGGTAAAAATGATTTTAAAGCAGATGATTGATTTTAAGTTTTTTCAATTTAGTCTGAAGATTTAGCTTTGAGTTTATTGTTCATTCTGTGTGCTTAAATGAAAGATGTCTTCAAGGAATGTGTTTTAACAGTTGATAAACAAATAAAAAAGTTGCTTATTTTTACCAGGAGAGACCATAACTGTGAGCCTTTTTCTTTTCTTTTTTCTGTGATCATGACAGCGAGATGCACATAACAGTTACAAAAGCCATCAACGCACTTATAAGAAAATCAAAACTTAACAACAAACACCCAAACCACCTTGCTTTAACACACACAACTGAAAGTCTATCTATCTTAAGGAGGCCATAATTTAATTCCACTACACAAGTCATACTCCATAAAATTCCAGATAAAAGACGAATAAGATCATAAATATAAAGCATACATCAGATGTCAAAAAAGCTCAAAGGGGGCTGGCAATAAAATAGCAGAAAAAATGGCAGAAAATGGCAGATGAGCAGTAAAAATGACAAAAAGATAGAAGAAGGTAGAGAGACTGTTAATAAGTGAGGAGAATGAGAACAATGGGAAAAGAGACTGGGCTGAGAGATGAAGACATGTGAAGGGGGACTAGAGAGACAGCAAAGGAGAGAGAAGTCGATATATGTCCTTTCAATTCTGCTAGCTTGTGATCTGTATCTCATCTTGATTGCCAGAAAGTATATCTGTGTCTTAATTAATGGCCAGCTAGCAGTCTCAGTTTTTAAATGAACATTTATAATGACAAGTATCATGGTTGTGCAAGTGTGTGTACAGGTTTTTTGTGGTTTATGTATTTGATTAATTTGACATGAATATGATTACCTAGAAATTATATTGTTAAGGTGGTTTATGAGGACATTCATTGTGCCCTTGTAATTCAAAATAGTTAAAAAATAACTTTTCACATTTAATATTTGTCTGTGAGGACTGGGTTAAGGGGTAGGTTTAGGGTAAGCCCATAAAATAAGCAGGTTTTAGAGTATAAAATACATTAAGACTATGGAAAGTCCTCATAGAGTGATGAGTCAGATGTTTTTTTTTAATCTCATGAGAAAGCAGCAGGACAAGTGTCTGCTCTGCCTACCCGTCCACAGCCACAAACAGCAGGAGATGAGTCAGATCGAGAGGTCAGTGACTTCACGTCTGTGTCTGAGACAGATGCGCCACAATCATCTTGAACAGCAAAAAAGCAGAGTGTGGGCTGGATATATATCTGGAGAACTTGACTAAAATAGTCACGATTTTGCTAGTATGAATATGCAATGGATTGAGGTGAGAGTTACTTTCTTTAAATCATGTCTATTTAAATCAAATGTGCTTTTAGTTCGTACTAAGGTTTGTAATTTTGGAAATCCATTTGAAAAATGGTCTCTTATGCTCACCAAGGCTATTGTAATATTGTGAACAATGATAACAAAAGTACTTTCAGAGTTTTCAGCATCACTACTCCAGTGTTTTGTGTCACAAGATCCTTCAAAAATCATTATTATATGCTCATTTGCTGACACTTTCATTATTATTGTATGTGAAGAAATATTTAAAACCTTGATACATAAATTTTTAGGACTATTTGATAGATTACATTTTAAAAAAAGCAATATTTATTGCAAAGGTTTACACTCACACTTTTGATTAATTCGATACATACAGTTTAAGTGAGAATTATTAGCCCCCCTTTGATTTTTTTTTCTTTTTTAAATATTTCCCAAATGATGTTTAACAGAGCAAGGAAATTTTCACAGTATGTCTGATATAACTTTTTCTTCTGGAGAAAGTCTTATTGATTTTATTTCGGGTAGAATAAAAGCAGTTTTAATTTTTTTTAAAACCATTTAAGAGAGATTAAGATAATTAGAGGTCAAGATTATTAGCCCCTTTAAGCTATATATTTTTTAAATAGTCTACAGTACCTAATTAACCTAGTTAAACTTTTATATGTCACTTTAAGCTGTATAGAAGTGTCTTGAAAAATATTATTTACTGTCATCATGGTAAAGATAAAATAAATCAGTGATTAGGAATGAGTTATTAAAACTATTATGTTTAGAAATGTGCTGAAAAAATCTTCCCTCCGTAAAACAGAAATTGGGGAAAAAATAATCAGTGGGGCTAATAATTGAGGGGGCTAATAATTCTGACTTTATCTACATGCTAAACATCTTTTTTAAAAAAAGTATTTCTGACCTTAAACTTTGGAAAAATAACAAATGTGTATATTTTATATGCACATAATGTATTTTGAAAATCCATGTCACATAACATAAAAGATAAAAACAAAATGATAAATAAAACACATAAAAAGATGAATAAAAAATACAAGTTCCTACACTGTAAAAAAATATATTATCAATTAGTCCTAACAGCATATGTCTTTGGGTCATTGTAACTTATTAAACCAAGATAATCAACTTAATTTTATAAGTTGTGCAAGGTGTTTTATGACAGTTTAACTTAATATACGTTTAATGGACTCATAAGGTTTATTTGATTTAGCTAAACAATTTAAGGCAACCAGGATTTTTTTACAGTGTCCCCAAATAAAATTGTTAACGCAGAAAGGAAAGCTTTAGCGATAGTTCTGCCAGGAAGACTGGTATGTCACGTCATTCGTAATAACTATCTCGTCAGACTATAACGACCAAGCAACAATCTAATGACAATCTGTTTCGCTGTACGCTGTTCTCCATCCTCCCCACCACCACCAGGTCGGCCTCGTCTCCAATCGGGGGTTGGCTTCGCCCTGCCCTCATCTTCAGGCAGGATCTGCCAGCTCATTCAGAGTTCTGCACCATAAACATGGCTTACATCAAATGACTTTTTGACAGGACAGTAACGAACTTACATTTATCCAAACAATTCACAATAAATGTTAAAACGTTTGTCTGCCTCCTAAAGTCTTTCTGGTAAAACTGTTATGTTACAGTTATGATTACACACACATACCTGGCTGTTGTTTACTGTCATTGTATGTTTTTGGTTCCTTTTGTATTTGATTTACATCATGACATCTTTGTATCTCTTTGCATAATAATAATAATAAAAAGAATGGTTATGTTTTGTTGATAGATAGCCCAGAAATTGAATCTGGAATGATAAATGAGCAGATATATTTATTTACCTGTTTGCAGCTGACAGGTTTGCCGTTCATATCAGTTGCAGGGGGAGCGAGCGCTTCCCAGTCTCTGCCTTTGTTGTAGGTGATGAGAGTCATTACTTTTCCATCTACTTTCTGATTGGCTAAGAAAACGCCCTTGACTCCACGAACCTGAAACACACACAGACACAGATTTCTCAGCATAGCATAACGTTCTAAAGACAATATAAATTGTTATAAGCATCTCAAATCCTAGTAAAGCTATAGGCCGGGCTTCCCCATAAGATCAGGGTGTGCATATACTATGACGAATTTTGACGCTTATATGTTTTGCTACTGACTATAAAGGCAACATGGCATGTTTTTTTGTAGCAAATGCGCACCCTGGACTGATGCAAAAGAAAAGACATTGCCAAATCATTGTTAAAGACTTTGGTGCACAAAAGTGTTCTTGAAGCTTGATGTGATTAATGTTGAACAAAAAAAATTAACATGGAATGTATTGACAATATTTTTGGATCTTTTTCTGGACTTTGAACATCTTGTGACTGTTGTTAAGTGGTAAAAGAGCCTTCGGATTTCCTCTAAAGTATCTTAATTTGTGTTTAGAGGACAAACTCAGGGCTCTGGTACATCATTAGTAATTGATAACAGAATTTTCTTTTTTTGGGAGAACTAACTCTTTAATTTGCACTTAATCTTGTGGATTAAGGTGAAATAGCTGCTTGATAAGAGAAAACAAACCATTGTTAGCTCTTGCACATCGAAGCACAGGAGTTTAACATATTTTAATAAAAATGTTTAAATAAAAATTTAATTGAAAATGAGTAAAGTACTAATCCCCCAAAATGACACCTAACCACAGTAATCTAATGGCCTGTTTCCACTGAGTGGTATGATACGGTACAGTTCTGTGCGCTTTTATGGCCATGTCCATTGTCAAAAAGTACCAAAAAGTGAACTGTACCATACTAGCTCCACAGGAGTAGATTAAAGCGCATGTTTTAAACAGCAAAAATTCTGTTTCATGCTTTTAAAATCATGAATAAAGCTTTAAACACTTAATACACAATTAATAAAGCATGTCCTATGCTGCAAAAGTCAATTTACATGATTTTATTGCAATCTGTCTTTGAGAAGTGATTTAAAGAGGCATGTGATGCAATTTACCCATATTATCCCTATTATCAATTATATATGTCTAAAGATTTAACCCTTTGAGCACATCTAGGTTACTTAGGGTTGACAGAGCACTATTTTATTTTGAAGGTAATTAAATTATTGGTGATGACATTTCAGTAATTGCTTGATATTTGTGGGGACACATCCCCTCCGCCCATGCCAGTTCTCTGTCCTTGCCTAGCACAATAAACGATTAGATTACAAAGAAACGTCACAGACGTACACAAGCCAGGAAAACAAAAACAAAAGAAGTGCCATTTTTAAATACACAGTCGAGACGTTACATCTTACTAATACATACATATAATAATCAACCCAAGCTTAAACAAACCTTGTCATCTTCTTGATAAACAGCCACAAAGCCAAGAAGTAGAACTGAATCTACTCTGTGCACAGTAGTTGTTTACAAGGCCGTCTAAAGAGTGAGCAGTTTCGGTTTCTTGCGTCTATATTTGAAATAACGAACTTCATGAGCTGATGATAATAATGTGCAGTTGATTATTGAAGTGCTTCTGACATCCGATTCTTTCAGAAATTGATAAATGGGAGTGTGACGTGCGGAAAAAAGAAAGGACAAGCCGGAAAAAGCAAAGAAGCAAATGACTCTTTCAGCAAACTAAAACATGAGCAAACTGCCTTGTTTAACTCTTATCATTACCTTTTGGACTATCATTAACTCGGTAATGAGGGAATTACATTCTAATAAAAGAATAGAATAAAGAAAGAATAAAGATACAGATAAGAGGTTACTGTGAGCTTTATATTGCGTGTTGTTTTTGAACCCAAATAAGGACTAAATGTATGTTGTGTGTAGTTTTTGTCTGTAATTGGTATCATATCGGAGACTGTTAGGGTCTGTATGTGTACATGAATGTTGTGTTTATTTATTTTACATAATTGCAGATGTAACAGTAGGATATTTCACACTATCCTTGATTTGCAGTTATAATCAAAAAAAGGTTAGTAATGAACATTTATACACAAGGAACCGAAATAGGCACTCTTTTGGCAGTGCAAATGCAAGCCTGATAAAGGTAACCCATAACATACTCTACCATACCATTCAGTGGAAATGGGCCATTCAGAAATTTTTTTATACCCCTGGTTCCAGCAGCAGGAACATTAGCTTCCTAGAAAGTCTAATTTATTTAAGATACACTACTGGCTATGAATAATAGGTGAGTGAATATGCGTATAAACTAGCTATATCTAGTAACTCATATGTGAATATGAGTTACTAGATATAGCCACGCCCACTTGTTTGTGAAGTAAGATAATCAATGTAAACTTCACCATAGGTAAGCTATTTGCATTGATTTTACGTTCAGCCCACAGTGCCTTATTTCACACAGGTAGTAAGTGAGGTGAAAAGCTGACCTCCAGGATGTCGATGAGCACATTCTCTTCAGGCTGCTTGGTGCTGCGGACGTTCTCCAGCACAATGGAGTAATAGACTCCCTGTGGATCAGACTGGTAGAGGTTGTACGTGTCCGTCTGATACCATTCCTGAAGAGCCAGAAACACCTGATTCTCATCTGTACTCACAATCTGCACATCCTGCAGGAAAGGCAACAAACAAAGTGACAAAACAGGTGAGAATAAAAGAAAAGCAAGTTTAGTGCAAATCATTAACAATGTAATTCTTTGTAAGAAGGAGCGCAAAAAAAGCTCGACACATTCTCTCATGCTTGCATAAAACAACTCCAAAAAATGTGTTGCAGCCTATTCCACGGTGATTACATGTCGTTTCTTTGAAATGAAAAGTTTATTGAGAGCTGCTGTGAAGAACCGAGTTGGAAGATGAACCGTGCAGGGACAGATTTAGATGAAAGAACGAGCAATTAACGAATCCATTCTTTAATTAGATTTTCTGCTGTGCCTTAAAATACAGATTCAACACAAAGCTCCTCGGTTTTGGTAGCTTAGCATTGTGGCGATGACTGGGTCAGGACAGGGTAGTTCGCCTCCATGTTGTTCTTGCAGATAAAGTGAAAGTGGGTCGCATTAATTTAGGCACAAAGATGAAGGGTACAAGCTCGTGCCCCCAGCTGAATTCATTCATAAGAACTTAAGTGAAGAGCCCGCAAAGTCCCCGAAGCACTGAGAAGCTTTAATGTGCTTCAGAGACCAAACTCCGAAGGCACTATTTCTCACTTATGTTCCACTAACAGCAGTTTAGAGGCACTGAACCTCCTCTGTGAGAGGTCAGTTACACAACACCTGTTTTCTGGGAGAATTATATGATGGAGGAGGAGAGATAGGGATGAAGCAGCACACTAAAAACAGCATCTGTAGCGGGCTTCTCATGTGTGAGTGTACATGTCCATATGGACCAACGTACACTATACATATCTCTACTGCACACACAGCTTCTATATAAGACTTATTTAAAACTTCCCTTCACAGCAGGCTTGTGAGTTCTGTCCACACACCACATTTGTAAATACAGCAGACCTTGCACCACAAAACCTTAAGAGGCAATTTTTTTTTTTTTTTTTGGAATTTAAGATCTATACATCATCTGGAAGCTGAATAAATGCTCATTGATGTAAAGGACAATATTTGGTTGAGACACAACAATAATCTGGAGCCTGATGGTTCAGAAATATAGCTAAATACTGCAAAAAAAAAAAACTTTTAACATGAATTTTTTTAATTTTCTGACGTAAAAATAGGATACAAATCTCAGCAATCTTGAAGCTGACTACGTTCCACTGATATTGACTGACAGTTGGGAATTAATGTGTCTTTGAATTGCCTTTAATCAGGCAGGATTTACTAGTATTAAAACATTTGTTCCAACTCTCTGTGATCTAACTACACTTAATCTATAGATTGATGTAAATCATAACTGCTTGAATCAGCACAGCTGTATAGTGTATGCAACTATAAACAAGGACGCTTCAATCACACAAGAGTCCTGGTTTGTAGACATAAGCATCTCTATACATTTTGTAGACATAAACATCTCTATACAGCACCATGTTTTACCGCTTGGTAGACATCCTGTCACATTTGCCATAAGTAGATGAGCAAAAATAGCACAACCTGTACATATGTGTTTGTTTTGTGTGTGCACATATGCACAGTGAAAGTTGTAACAGCATTTGTTTGTGACTCATTCATCTTACTCTGGTATTTGTGACTGTAGGTGTCATTATGTCTGTCATTTTTCTGTGTTTACCCTGACATCCGATCCTAGTTTTCTTTCTCTGAAGAGAAATGTCCTAAGAGTGGGTGGGAAAAAAAAAACTTTGGATGAATGAAGAAAACCAGCTCATTAGCATTTAAAGGGACAGTCGCAAAAGCAGCTACAATTCCATCAAAAGTCAAAAACTGACATTTTAAACAGGATATAATAAATGATCTGATGAATATTTTGGCATGAAACATTAGACATGTTCTGGAGTCTTATTTTACATCTTTATAACCCAAGTTAAAGCTCTTTAAATAAACTTAACATCATTATAATTGTCACAATCACCAGCGATCACAATTCAATAGATCGCTGGATTGCACTAACAATAACTCATGGACTACAATTTCGCAATTTCTGGACTACACTTTCATACATGCACTCCGGTCACACTCACACATGCTTCCTCATCTAGACTGATTACTTGCGCCACCTGAGGATTGTCAGAGACTGATTGCACACACTATTTAAGCAGCACACTCACTCACTCCCATTGCCGAGTTTTGTTCACTGTAAGTAACACTACAAAGCATTTCCTAGTCTTGTTATCCTGTGTACCAACCTTAGCCTTGTTAGCATCCTTATCTTTGTCTGCTGCCTGCCTTTTGACCTTTCATCTGTTACTGATTACGATTCTGGACTGCCTTCACATACCCCTTTGCACCTGTATTGACCATTGCTTGCCTGACGACAAATAAACCTGCATTGTGGATCTTACCTCAGTTGTATGTGTCACTCCCCGTGGTTACAATTATTGTATACTTTTTATATATGCTGGACTCAATGGAAATGAGATACTGCATCTCAAGGGGTATACTCTAAATAAATTGTAATGTATTATTCCTCTACTTACTGTAAAACCAAACAATTTAAATTTGTTATATTAAATTACTTAAAAGTACGAGTGAATGTTGATCATAGTAGATGTGATAGTTATGGAATCACTATCACTTATGTTATAGTGATATATTATAGTGTAGATTGCTTATTTTTAGTTTAAAAGAAATGTACTAATAGCACACAAAAGATTTTTGAAACGTTTGGAAATCATGATTGATATTTAGGTTATTAAGCTACAACGAAATAGACCTTCCAGACAATTTCATATTCTCTCTTTCACTTCCTAACAAACATCCAGTCAGAAGCAACATAACAACAAAATGATGCACATTAGTTTCATAACGTTTGTGGCGCCTTAGAGAACAATGGGAAATCTTTGGTCTGTCTCCTCACAATCTAGCTAAAATAGATGCTTTCTGACAAGATGTAATGCTATTTTTCAGTCTTGAAATACACAAAATGCATAAAAACAAAACGATATCAACAACATTCTCAATTCAAAGCTGTCACTGTCAACAACACAACAAGAAACTCAGTTCAAAACGTTTATTTTTTGAGAATTTCCAAGCTCACCATTATACAAGCTTTTAATCCTGATTCATCCCTCCAGTCTTATAGCCCCAAAATAGCTTTCTACATCCACACACAAACACTTCTCAAAAGTACCAATTTCCCATGAAGCTTTAGACTGTAATGATGAAATAAAAGCAAATATTAAATTTCAGAGCACCTCTTGTATAGAGAGGAGTGCAAATGTGTGCATGGCTTTACAGCCATTACTTCAAATTGAATTTACCCTTTCATTGATCCCTGTTGTTATAAGGTTTGTGATGACATCTGGAAACAAGCAATCACAAACTGTAATAACCGAGTGATTGCCTCCTTGTTTGTTTAATTTCTCAGTCAGATTTGGAGATGGTACAAAACACGCTTCCTATCTAGAACACCAATGTAATCCTTGCCTGTTCATTTGGCCTCAAATGCGAACAGCTCCACATGTTTTAGTTAGTTGTGAATTAAAATTTTAACGATGAGGTCATCTTCCAGTCAAAGCTTACACAAGACAATGAAGTCATCGCAGCGAAACACAGCTGCTGAGAGAGATAGTGCACGTTTTATTTTGGATTACCAGATCATCTAAATCAGCACACAAACAGCAACAAGAACAACAGAGTGATCGGATTAAAACTGTAAGCTTTAGTGAAGCACTTTTAATTTTGAACCACTGGCTGGATCGGCCCTGTATGTCTATCATGCTGTGTGGCAGGGCACTCAGGTTCTTCATACTGATAACAGCACTATCAGAACTGAAGACAGCACTATCCATCTGTCTCTGACAGCGGGTGCAGGACCCCTATCAGACATGGCACCGCTGCAGGACATTTGTGTCTCTGCCTACAGCCACAATCCCTCAGTGTATTTTAACAATGCTGACTCAATGTCTGATAAGTCAGAAAGATGGGACATGTGACAGAAGAAACAAATGGATGGAAAGACAGAACCTAAAGGTCTTTGTTTTAGAAAAAAAAGCACTTTCTTAAAAAATAAAGGTTCCAAAACGTTTCTATACAGACAGTGATAATCTAGAAGAGAATCTCTTTAACAGAAATCAGCTAAAGCTAATAAATCCCTGACATTTGAGTCGCTTTGCTGATCTTTAAACTCCCACTAATGAGCTATGGTTTTCACTCTGTCCAATGACAGTGCGCAAATCATTTACAAAGAAAGAGAGTTTAGCTTGACTTGAGGTGAAAGTTGATGTGGACTGTCCAATAGCATTTTTAAACTCGATTTATTTTCAAATCAAGAAACGCATGTAGCAAAAGGAAAAGAAAAGCAAGTGACAAATAGAGAGAGAAAAGTGTTTGTCAAATGCATTTTAAATAATCTATTAAAATATATTTTTATTGTTTGATTAATCAGTGTTTTTAAAAAATGACTCAAATAAACATTTATAAAATTGTCTATTTATTTATACATTTATACAAAAGTTATTTTTAAATACATTAATTTGTTCCTTTATTAAATGACATTTAGAAATACAATTTAAATAAACAAATTTTAATATGTCTATTTATTTGTCCATTATTTGTTAATTTAAATTGAACACAGAGAGAACATGAAAACTCCACACAGAAAATGTCAACTGACCCCGCCGAGGCTCGAACCAGCGACCTTCTTACTGTGAAACAATCATGCTATCCCCTGTGCCACCGTGATGCCCTCTACACATTTTAATGATTAAATTATTAAATTGGTCATTTGATTCTTTATTTTATTCATAACTGGCACTCCTGGTCCTCCATACCAAAAGAGAGCTTTCGCAGAAATGAACCTGTCAGTGACCAGATGTTAAAAAACTTTTTCCCATCCACCGTGTTTTCCTTACCACCTAATTACACACAACATGGGAAGATGCCAGCGACAAGAATTTGTCTGTCTAAGCTAGAGGTGGGATGACAAAAAAAGTTAAATACTACAGGCTGTCAGAAGCACAGAATAGTGCAAAATAGTAAAGTTT